GACAAAGAGAACGCAGTTTTTGAGCCAGTGTTGCATATCCACTTGGCACCGTGTTCACAGCCCTCGATTCTCGGAATAATTAATAAAATGTTCCCGCACAGATCTGAAAGACTTTCTTAAGAAGTCTTGAATTTGCATGTGACGTTTCGACTTCTCGGAAAAAAAAAGTTTCGTTCTCCTGTTAGAAGCAGAGAGAAAAATGGTTTCACACCTGTGCTGAAAATAAAAAATGACACTTTTCTTGTAAATATATTTATAAGAATTTCAGACGGTTTTCTGGCCTTTGCAATAAAGAAAATCATAAAATGGGGGACATAACTGATAGCGGGTGTCTAATCGCCTGTTTAATCTAATAAACTATTTCAAATTTTGATTAAATTCAGTATTCGGGGGGTTTGGACTACAAGTTACGTCTCGTCGTACAAAGAAAGTTTACATTATATTATCTCATACATTTAAAGACACATAAAAATAAATTTCTTCTTGTGTAATGTAAATTAATTTGTATCTGCAACTGAATGAACTGACTATTAACCCTTCCCGGGCGGAAAAGCGATAAATCCTTAGCTTCAGAAACATTTTAACTAATAGACTGTTGAGATAGTATAGTTGCGTCATATTGTGACATTAATTAAAATAATTATTATATTTGTTTTGACTTCTATTTACATCGGAACATGTTCCGATGTAAATAGAAGTCAAAACAAATATAATAATTATTTTAGTAGACTGTTGCAAGAAACCATCATACTGGTAACTGGTGAAGATCTGTGTTTTCTTTGCGGTACAGACTGAATTATTAAATATTATTTAGATGAGCTTCGGATGCAATGGATTGACAACACATAACAGTACCCAAAGCAAATAGGTAACTAGATCTTCAGCCTCAATGTGACCCTGATTCCCATCACCGCTTCTCCTCCACATTTATTTCAACAAAAGAATCTGACATCCGACAAAATTAGGTTCAGGCTGCTGCACTAAGAAGTGTGCTACTTAAGCGAGAACCGTGAAAACAGACGAAGTGTCATGACCCTCAAAAAAGCAACCCACACAGCGGCGGCCAGAACACATCAAAGTCCATGGAGCAGAGTCCTTTAAAAGTTGACAGTCACTCGGTTGGTCAACAACTTCTATTTTGTGCTATTTCAGTCTGTCTCGGCTGCGAGAATGAAGATGGCACTCTCATCGGTTGTTACGCCATTCAGTCTGGTGATTTACGCTTGCCGAGTCAATCATCAGGGCGATGGCTGATCGGCAAACTTCTTCCAGACTAGACGGCCGCAAAATCCCAGACGTTCAACAACTATTTCCTTCGGATGACCTCAAGGAAATACTCAAAATTAACACCCGTGTTCATTTCCTCCATCTCCAACGAATCATTTCGGTGTCTTGTCTTAAAAGTGCGCAAGTTTATAAATACTGGTGACCTCGTTTATTTATTTATTTATTTATATTCTCTACGCAACTTTTAAGGTGCGTGAACAGAAAACGGAAGAGTGTCCGGTGTACAAGGTCGGAACACGAACCCTGAGCCGAAATAAAGCGACTTCTTGGCAGTTGGTAGAATATTTTGATTTTTCCAAATTTGCTACACCTGCAAGAAACGTCTGCATCTCTTAAATACATCTCAATGAGCCCAACGTCGTCTATTCATGTTTTCTCGCCGTCTGTCTAAGAGGTTCAGACTCGCTGTGGAGGGGGAAATGCAGGTCATGGTCTGCAACTGTGTTCGTTGGAACATCAGCGGCAAACGCGCCTTCTCGGGAACCCCCGTAGTTAATGGCTGAGAACGGAGGTGATAACAAAAGTACGTATTGCACAATTCGTAGAAATTGAACGAAACCAAATAACATTTTGCTATGTTGCAAATCTATAACCCGGTAGCTTTCGTCCCTTTAGTACAAGTCTACACGTGTCCAACGTAATAAATGCCATTGAACATTTATGAATGTTTTTATTATAATTTAGATTTAATTTCTTAAAATTTAAAAATTCTGAAATATAATCGATATATGAAAATTTTGAAAGTTACAGGCCCACTATACGGACACTTTAATTCCTCATACGTCTTGAAAGAGTCTTTTGGCAAAGAATAAATGCAGTTCTACCTAGTACTAAGTACAACCCCATGCAGGGACGCATGGGGGGGAGTGGAGGTATACTTCCTCGCGTGATGAGCTTCAAGCTCCGATAGCTTTATTTAAGATGTTTTTAGTACAGGGTATTTAGAAATGTTTAAGATGAATGTTGAAGGTAACAAAAAGCCATGAAAACTGGAAGAAATTAATAGTTAATAGGGGATGACCGAACACACCTAACTAAAATGCATGGCTGTTTAATGAGAGAGTTTCACACTTGGTGGAATTTTATCAGTGTGACAGGACAATAAAAAGGCAAAGTAAATCCCGCCAGTTTTGGAGGCTAATGTACAAATCATGAACCATGCAATCTGTCGCATCTCCACTAATAAAACGCGTCATGTTTTACTATCGCCTTGAACATGCAAACCTCAATTTAATTGTAGAAAGTGACAGAAAAGTATGTCACAAGTACATTCATGTCTCAGAAATCAGGTTGCAAATTTTTTCCTTCATTCACTTCGAAATAAATTAGCGATGAACACAAGGACTTCTTCTTGTAAATCACGGCCTGCCTGTAGAATCCTGCTCTCAGACACACCTGAACGACCACAGAAGTACAACGAACAGTGTTTATAAAACCCCGGTCGAAAACCTAATTTATACAGGGAAAAATAATTGTTTTTCGTTTACTTCCAGCGAGTAAATATTCAAGATTTGAGGTTTTCACAGCGGTGAGTATGAAGATTTCTCTCTTCTGGGTTGTTGTGCTGTGTAGTCTGGTCGATACCCTGATGACGGAGGCAGTATGACCTCTGAAACGTTGGTAAACATCGACCAGACTACACAGCGCAACAACCCAGAAGACAGAAATCTTCATACTCATCGCCCTGATGATGGAGGCAGTATGACCTCTGAAACGTTGGTTAACATCGACCAGACTACACAGCGCAACAACCCAGAAGACAGAAATCTTCATACTCATCGCCCTGATGATGGAGGCAGCATGACCTCAGAAACGTTGGTAAACATCGACCAGACTACACAGCGCAACAACCCAGAAGACAGAAATCTTCATCGCCCTGATGATGGAGGCAGTATGACCTCAGAAACGTTGGTAACCATCGACCAGACTACACAGCGCAACAACCCAGAAGACAGAAATCTTCGAGTAAATATTCCGTCGAACATTTTCGCCTTCAGCCTTGAAGATGGAGGCAGTATGCTCATCCGAAACGTTGCCATCCACCTACAAGTTTACATGATTTCACAACTCAGAAGACGAACATCGACATCTCCAGCGCCGTGAGAATCTCTAATATTAATACTACTTCTCTTCGCGTTGGCCTTTTTATTGGTATGAACGGCCGAATGATGACGAAGATAGAAGCTGAGATTTTAACATAGAATCACATAAACACGTTCGCCTTCAACGATAGAATCTGCACAACTGCCCTTTTATTTAAGGTAACATGAAACTGGAAACCGGTCGAATGCTTGTAGGTCTCCATTTTTACCTTAAAATAAACCAAAAAAACTTCCATGTGTCACGATAAAACCGTGAAGAACTACAAGGCCCATAAACCCTAAACAGCGTTACCATGCCAACGGTTGATAACATTCCTTAAGGTCAAAAACATGGTCATTAACGTTCTCTTGTTAATATGTTTAGACTTGTTGGATATTCAATTGGGATAGCCAGTTCCTCGAGTCAAAATTTGAGCTCGGGATCTCTTGAATACGAAGCAAGAATGCTAAACCACTTAGAAGCGACGTTCGGTCACAGTATTAATTGGGAAGCTATCTAATGCTTATCTAATAAAGACATTTCTCGCTACTTTCAAAAGGCGAAAGTTCATTCATTACCCTGTTGATATGAGTCCGCCAAAGAAGCGACATGTCATTTAATATGGACTTGGATGGTTAGCTTTCGCCTAAACTCCAAGCCAGAGGACCACCTTCTGTCGACCATCCAGAACTGCTCATACAATATTTTGCAGCTACCTGTAGCATCTGAAGATAAGCTCCTTAATCTACAAAGAGATGACGCACTATGCCTTGATGATAAAGGAGCAACATAACATGGGTTGATTTATTGTGAAATGTTTATTTGTTTAGACCTTGTATTTATAATCTCGCCACATAACGTTGCTTCTGGTCTGTGTCCTCGCATGCAGGTTATTAGCAATGAAGTGCACGAGATATTATTTAACGCTTTAACAATCTGCTAGATCACTACAGTCCACCGGGTTGTGACTCAATGGCGTGGAACTGCCGTTCGTGTGGAAAACAATGACATACAAGCGTCATGAACTGAGGTGAATCACAAAAATAACCCAAAGTAATGGATTTCGGGAACTAAATTCTCTGGTAAATGAAGTTTATCCTTTTACAACGGCAATTGTCCTCATTATTTCTTGTGGCAATGTTGAAACGTTGGTCACCACCCACCATCACAAGCCACGATCGAAATCACAGGACATTTAGGAGATTAATTAGGACATTGGTAGTCCCAAGTTTTAACACTTAGTTAATCAGTTATTTTTAGAATACCGTTCACATTACAAATAGAATTCTTGGATAGAAAATGATTGGTTTGTGTTTTATCAAGCCAAGTGGCGATGTAAGGCGAAAAAAATCAAATATTGCACGCCTGAACGATATTTATTTTGTATGTTGAGTTCTCTTATTCTTAAAGAGAGAGGAAAAAAGAAACAAAGAAATAATAATAATAAAAAAAAATATAGCATCCCTGGTGGGGATCGAACCCACGACCTTTGGATTAGAAGTCCAACGCGCTATCCTCTGCGCCACAGGGACAGATAACGACACAAGCTCCAAACTCCTTTACTTTATCGTAACTTTGCAATAAGTGTTCCAGTTTTCTGTTGTTGTGTCTCATTTATATTATTATTGTAATTTATATTGCGCGAATTTATTAAATCGTTTAATTTCGCGAACTACCGTGACGTGCTAAAACAGCAGATCAGACGGAGAAAGTTTCGCGAGCATATATAAACTCGGTTGTAGGTGGCAGCACAGTCAGAAAGTTATATTTCCTGTGTGCGAGAAGTTCAAATGATGGATTAACAGCTGAGACCCACAAAACATTACGAAACTATTGTGTGTTTTACTTGTACTTGATAAAATAAACATGGATGGCAGCACTTTCTCGGCCTCTAAAAATAATCCAAGTGGGCTTTCTGCAGCAGAGTTTCAAAGGAATCTTTATACCTGGTAAGGTTTGTTTCTTATATTTTGTTTAGAAATCTAACCCCAAACAGATAATAATATTAACCTAATCGTTCTGTGAACAATTACTGGTATTTTATACAGCCGGTTAATAACTGATGTAACAAAGGTAATGATAACAGTGACAGCTTTTGTATATGTTCCACAAACCTAATGCTATCAGACATTGTATATTTCCTTGCTTTGCTTGGCTTCATCTTGACACAGCTTTTGGCTAGTCTTGGAATAAAGGTAATTTGGTTGAATTTCTTTTATGCCATCAAAACTCGCTCTCAAGTATTCATTCATAGTCCTAGTGACTATAATGACTGAACTGCATCCCAGCTCCATATTCACAGAATATGATAATGATAATAAAAATGATGCAACTTGTTTTTAGGTTTGTAAATCGAGGTCTCGTGGATGAATCACGAGCACATCTCCGGCAGCAGATGGTTACAGCACTAAGGGGCACATCTCTGCGTCCCAGTCCTTCCAGACACATAAAATCAAACATGACACCAAAAATTCAAGCCATCAACTTATTGGTAGCTGAATTCTTACTACAACAGGATCACCATTTTACATTATCTGTTTTTACAAGTGAAATCCCGCTGCTACGAAGTATGCCAGAATTTGCAGTATCCGGATCTCACGTTTCTACTCAAAGTAATACAGCTGGTGAACGTATGCCTCGATTCCAACATCAGGATGTTAAGGACATAATGGAGATTTTGGGGTTGTCTATAGATACAGACGTGGGTAACAGAATCTACTGTCAATATCAAGATAATTCAGAAAATACAGCATTGCTTACAAGTATTCTTCAGAATGCCCCACTTGTCTTAGATGACAGATCTCACACTGGGAAAAAGAACATGTTCTCAAGTACCACTCAAGATAGAAAGAGTAATAAGAAATTTAAAGATGCAGGAAATTCAAACAAAGAAAGTTCTACAAAGCAGTTGGCAGAAGTGTACAATGCAGAGATTCAAGAAGTTTTATATCAATCACACCTAAAATCTCTACACATCAAACAGTTGCAGGAGGAATTACGAAGGTATGGCATTTATTTGATATGGCAGTGCAATATTTTGTTTTTTAATTGGTGGAGGTTTATTGATATCATAAGAGTAGGTTAGGTTAGCTTAGGTTAGGTTGGGTTGGGTTAGGTTAGGTTAGGTACTGTCCACTGGAAAGAATGATGAAAGATATGACTGTGCCCAGTTTCAGACAACTTTTGTTCCACCCTCTTTTGTCGACTGCAAAAGACAATGATGATTCATAAAATATATTCATATCAGCAAGCTCTTTGCATGTATATAAATAAAAGAATTAATATTACCGAAGTCCAAGATGTTTCTGTGACGGAGGAAATATACATAAAATAATCTTTCAATATAATTCAATTCATTGTTATCCCTTAAACATGAATTCTTCCATGAAACTAATTTTATGAATTGTCCTGATATGACAATAGTGATCTATCTTAGATTTCAGGAGTGTGAGGTTGAAAGGATACGGAAAGAAGAGGAGGCCAGATATAAGAAAGAGTTAATGGAGAGGGAGTCTCAGATTCAAGCGGATATATGTCGCCGCGAGGAGGAGATCAAGCGAAAGCTCAGTGATGCTGAGGAGAGACTGGCAAGGCAGCATCAGAGTCTCGATGGCGATTTACAGAAGAAACAGAGAGAACTTTCGGAACTGACTACGCGGCTCCGCGAACAGCGCTTGGAGGTCGGCCGTAAGCTACGACAAGCAGAGGTGCGTCTCTGAATTAGTATTACAAGACAAGAAATGTTTCATGACAGCACAATGATTAATCGGTCTGAACATCCGTCAACAAGAAATATTTTTCTTGTTGTTCTTGTCTTAATGTACCTTACATAGCTTGGATCTTAGATGAAGTAATATGTATGTATATGTGTTGACTCACTTTGTATGCTGCTTCTGCGGTCTGCTGTTTTCTTCCCTTCGTTAGCTGCAAGGTCTCGTATTCTCAGAAGCTTTTCCATCTTGGGTGTTCTTGTAGCCGTCAGGCAGGCTGCCATTAAATTTCTCCTGCTGGAAGCGTATACATAATTCAGTTTTCTGTATGTATGCTCTCTTACTATTTAAGTTTGTATAGGCTTCGACTTGGATGCTTAAAGCCTGAATTTACCTTATTCCTTACTGCATTGTGATTCACACAAAAAATAATTGGCCCTGAAGATGGAGACAGTAATCACCTCTGATATATCAGTCAATTTCTATTAATCTACATGGTGGAATATCCCAGAAGCAGTTACTTCCAACCGCCACGGTGGTCTAGCGGTTAGAACCCTGGCCTTGTAATCCTGGGGTCCCGGCGGTGCCCGAATTTATAACTTGTGTTGGGCAAGGCCGTGGTCTAGGCACTTCCACCAGTGTCTTCTCTTTAGTGGAGGAATAATACTTCTTGCTTTCTGGACAAACCAGCGTTCACACTTGTACTTTATTAAGTTGTCTCTTACATCATAATTAAATTGTTTAGGGACATGCTGAAGAGCTGAAGCGTCAGAAGGAAATGATGGATGAAACAAAACAGAAAGAAGAACTCCTTTTGGTAGAAAGAACAAGCGAGTTAAATGTACGACAGGAGCAGCTACACCAAGAATTTGAACGGTAATCCAACATGCATAAGTGTCCTTAATGTAACAGTATCATCATCAGACAGATCTCAGCTGGAAATTCACTTTACTAATAATTCATTTCTTTTGTCTCCTATCAAAATATATTTTACCTATATCTGGTATTCATCATATTTTTTATTGTAGATTAACCGCTCAAAGGGAAACCATGAGTTACATGCAACGTGAACTAGAGGAGAATCGCTTGCAGCTCGTAGAAGCATCGCGCTCGCAGGCATTGTTTGTACGTGACCTCCAGCAACAGTGTGCGCACCTGCGTCTTGAACTGGATGCCGCTCACCTCAGGCTGAACAGTTTGACAGAACTGCAGTCACAGAAGTCATCACACTCTGAGGTCTCTCATAATCATCTTTCAGTGGAAAAAGTTGATAAAGGTCTGCAGACAGCATTGCCTCTGCATGGGGATAACTTAGCAACAGCGGCGCCAGAGAAACTTCCAGCTCGGGACAGGGCGTTGGTAAGAAACTCAATTGAACGTCACTTATACAGAATTATGGTAAAATAATACCGCAACAGCGATGAGATGACAAATGAATTTGAACTGTTATACTGAGTATCAAACAAAACAATAGTACTTTAAGTCAATGCATTCCAGTCCCTATCACTACAACTTATTTCCCTTATATACATTTGAATATTTTTCTCCCTTCAATAACTTCATCTTCCTAGTTATCTGTTCTCCAGGCTGGTGTTTATTACTGTATAAAAATATATAAAGGCAAAGGAAAACAAACATGTGCCTAAGAACGTGCCATCTAGGTATATGGGGAAATGGATATGCTGGGTATTGGTTATTAAAAATTAAATTAAATTTATTTTCTATTCTAACTCAGGAGCTAGAGGGTGCCGAGTCTCAGCTTGAGGAACGTCAGTACCTGACGGATCTGTTGCACCAGGTACAGCAGGAAAATCAGGATCTGCGGGGACACATACAACAGCAGCGCCTCCGTATTGACGAGCTCACCAGCCATGCTGTCCAGCTGGCAAGTCAACTAGAAGATGCTCACACAACCATAACTCTCTTTTCAAACCGCCTGACTCCTGAGCCTTCGTTCCTACGTCCAGGTCTTGGTACCATTACTGTGTCACCTCTCACAGCTCCCACTCCACCTCCACCACCTCTGCTGTCACCTCACAACCCTCATGTCTTGAGAGCAATGAATTCCCAACAGATGGGTGCAGGGGAGGAACTAAGTTATGTATCTCCACCAGCATCACAACCATCTCTTGCATCTACATCACGACTCTCAAGCCTTCACCATCGCAGAGAGTTTCACAAGAAGCCTCCACGTCGCCTCATGGTATATGGCAACGCAACTAGCTCAGATGAAACAAGTCCCACTGAAGAAATTATTAAAGAAGCTAGACGCCGAATTCGTAGACTTGAAGAGGAAAGCGAGGCGGTTGATCGTAGTTATCAAGATTTCCAAAGGAGACACACTGAAACCCTGGCCAAGACCGCATCTGTTTTCTCCCACCCTATTACTTGGTCCACTCAATTCCAGCAACAAAATAATATCTTGGGTTACAGGCGGTTCACACCAAGCCAACCTATATATTCACCTGCGGTGGGAGGTGGCCAGAATATACAGATTCCATTCATTTCTAGAAATATCAATTCTGATAATTCACCTGTACTTACTCAACATACTGGAACATTGTTTAATCCTGTTTTTTCTCATAACACTTCGACATTTATTTCTCCGTTATTCAGAACTGAAGGAACACGACCACTTCAGCACACGGGTCGATCTCAGAATAAGTTTGCTTATCCTCAACTATCACAAACTCATGAAACTGTCGATAATACTGCCACAAATATCTCAGATAGAATCATGACACGGTCTCAGTCATGTGAATTTACTGCAGATTCTCAACCATCGACAAGCACTGACGTTCAGAGCAGGGGAGTACTTCGGCAAAAGGATAAAGCAGATCTCGCGAGGAACAAGGAAGTCAGGAGGAACAGTTTATCACATACCAAATTACTAGATACATACAGTTCTGTGTCTGTCGGTCCGCATCTTCACAAAAAGAATCGAGCAAAGAACGTATCATTTGGCAACTGTCCGAAGACCACCACCGTTTATAATAGCCCCCGGGTTTCTCCTTCAGCGCTGAGTGCAGTGAATCAAAAGACTTCTCAGAAAGAGTTGGACGATGGAGCAATTAGTGCTGTTTGCTTGAAGTCGGCTGAACATCCTGCAGCATCTGGGATAATCGGTAAAATATCTTCAACTACGCCTCTGTCTAATACTCGAGGCTCTTCCAGAAGTGACAGTTTTGGCGAAGACCTTATAATTAAAGAAACTGAGAAACTACCTTTATGTATATTGGATTCTTCAAGAAGCAATATACAGGGTGATGATGGGATTTCTTTACAGTTTCAGAGAGAAAATTCTTGTAGAGATATACATGATTACAATGGAAGACACAATGTCACAAGTAGACTATCTGATGACAACATTTGGAAATTACAACACAAATCATCTTTGTGTAATTTACCTTCCGTTGAACCTGAGCTTATTCTAAAAGAGACCAAATGTTCTGATAAAAATGTAACGGATAAAACTTATTTGAATGACACTCCTGTAAGTGACGTGTCAAAATCTGACGACTCCGTTCCACGTGCCTTATATAGCAGTCGTGAGTCAGAGTCTGTTGTGTCGAGCAGAGTCACTATAACTACTGAAAGATCAAGCGATGAAACTGATCTGCGGCAAATTCTGTCTGTGTCTGATGTTTCTAGTACTGTTCCTAGCGATAAAGATACTGGCGTCAAAGATGAGTCTAACAACGAGATGTCTTCTACTCCAGCTATCGACTTGGGTAATGAAAAAATCTCAAATAAAGATATAATCAATTCCAGTGTTGGTATTATTCCAATACAGGAGGAAAATGTAGTATCAGAAATATCAGGTACTCAAGAGACTGCGCAAAATAAAGAAATAACGACTGTGAAGAACTCAAATATGGTAATGCCACGCAATTGGGATATCAAGGAAAATGTAGCTGGAGTAACTGAACAGGCTTTGGTATGTGTAGAAAGTAAAGGTGGAAGTCAGTCATCATTGATTGTACCAGAGGGAATGGATGACGGCAGACACGTCACCAGAATAATTAACCAGGAGGAGAGACAGGACCAGGTTGAGGAAACACAGACCAAATTTGAAGGAAAAGAGCTTTCAGAGTATGTTACAGAAAGGAGTCAATCACATGACGATTTTGCAAGATCATCTGAAGAATCAGACAAAGATCAGAAATGCGCCTTGTCCATTAAAGCATCGAGGGATGATACTGCAGAATCCGTTGCAAATGACAGTGACGAGGCAATATCAGTTGGGGAGGAGAGTAAGAGGGATTCGTCAAATAAAGATGATTTCTGGTGACATGAAATGAATTTGTATATTTGTATATTTTCTCTGTATATTTGATCTCAATGTAATATCTAGTCAAAAGATATTGAAAACTACTTGCATAAATGGTTATTTTCTGCGAATTAAAAATTATTTGTTACTCCAACTCTATTTTATTTCTGAAAGACAGTATTAAAGTATTTTCATAAGAAAATGTAATGTTTTTTATTTAACGTACTTATTACCAGAAGCATTATTACCTCGTGCCCCGTATCTTGCATCCTTTTCAGACCTCACTTGTATCCTATAATTCATTCAACATCAACCTCATTTTATTCATTCCCACTATAGCATTAATATTTTATACTTCATTCTAGGAGGAACCTAGTTTGAATCTCAGGGAGGTTACCAGGAATCCTGACAGTTTTGTGATTTTACTCAGTTAATTCAGGCAGATGTTGAGACGGTTTCTTGGAAGAGACCATGTCACAACTTCTTCAATCACAACCCATTTATCAAACATGGTCATCTTCCCTCTTCATTGATATATATAAACATTGCAGTTGAAAAAGCATCATTAAATAATCTATCAATCTATAGGTTCCTACCTCAAAATTTTTACAAAATAAGTCTCCTTTATCAGATATTTACAACCTGGAAACTGATCAATTTCTTTTTCATTAAAATTATCAGGGCATTAAGCATTTACCTCTGTTTAATGTCCCGTTTGTTGCTTCTATGTTGTGATGCTTCATTGCCTGTCTCCAAACATGGAAGACCTGAAAATAACAATTAGAATAAAAGATAGTGATTTTATAACTAAATGTTTCTGACGGTGGATACTGGACACTGCCCATTGTCTCAGGTATATTATTTTAAAAATTTGTGTAAAACATTTTAGGAGATATAAAGTGAATTTTCAAAACATTTGATAAGTTTGACATTTTAGGAGTTTGGTACCACTGCTACAATGTTTAATAACTCAGACAAGTGCTTTAATGTGGCAGTAATGGCACATTTTTTAAAAGTATAATAAGATTGTCAAAACGCATTAAATTGTCCAAGATGGAGGAAGAAAACACCCAAAGAAGAATAATATAATATAAACAAGTAGAATCATCCCTTAAAACTCTTTCTTACCTAACCAGATAGGCCAAAACTTCCCAAGGGCCATCCGTGGCAATAAAACTATTCTTTACCCAATAAAACTAACCTCAAAATGATGTCACCTTGTTATACAAAAATAAAGCACTGCCTCAGACAACTGTGATGAAACAGAACAGGATACTGTATTTTAGTTGTGTATCATTATTAGATAACAAATAGATCTGCGAAAACTGAATATATTCTAAAAGGTAATTATGCTAAAATAAAATGTTTAAAATTTCTCAAAACTCATTTCTCATGTATTCCATTCAACTAACAATAGTTTTATCTTTTAATCTCTTTTGTATAATTTAAAAACATAATTAGCTATGATTTTATTTGTTTATATCTTATATATATATCTTGTTAAATCTTCCTTAAACGGGAATCAAACTCAGATCATCTGACAGTAAACTTAATCGTCATATTAACTGATTTACCCTGGCTTATATTAAGAAAACAACACAATTATATGAAAAACTTAAATTTGTAATGTGCCTCTGTTATTGCCAGGGCAATTAAATTAGAACAGATATAACTGATGAGCCATTTATTATGTGTGTGTATGGGGGGGGGACATAAACTTTTACGGAAAATACTACTTTAAAGATCTAGGTATAGATGGACAGATAACATTAAACAGGATCTCAGGCAAGTAAGCTGGGAACTGAATTAAACTGGCTCAGGATAGGGTTTTCGTGAATATTATGATTATAACCTTATCTGGGAGGATCCAGGTTTGACGCTTGGTCCGCTATCCTCGTAAAGCTTTTTGTGGTTCCTCTCAATCCCTTAAGCATAATACTAGAACCGTATCTTCGATACTCTATGACAATTTCCTTCTACATCCACAATCGTAACTCATGATCCCATTCAAGCTATAGCTTAAATGCTTTTTGGTTATGTCCCGCGCCATTAATGCGAAACCATTAAACTACGTCTGGGCTCCCAAAACATTGTTATACTGACTGAATTAGACAGTGTACGTTCTGGGTCAATAATAGAATTAAAAACAATGCAATTATCCCCAAAAATAACCTGAGGATATTACCACAAACCCGGAGTTGTGAAGCAAACATTTCCAATCTTACACATCCTTACGCGGAAACAAAGTTCAGTGAAAAGTCAATCAGTTCAAAGCGACATTTTGATTAGAGATAAATATCTTCAAGTTGTGGTTCGGAGTCGTGAATTACGTCATTCACGAACTCTGTGGAGGTAAATCCCAGGACACATCCGCATTCGGTGTTACAGAGAACATCAAAAAGAAAGTAACGTAGGCACAATGTTTGGAGGCTGTATAGAATGTAAGAACGCGCCAGAAATTCAGAAACCTATCGATAATCCTATTGATATTTAGCTCGAACTTTCGCAAAACTGATTCTTCTACTAGGGTAATTTTGCTTTTCGTATGTTGGGTTAAATTTCCCGCTAGGGCAGGGGAAAATAACATAAGTACCAACATTCAAAAGGCAGTTTTACAGTAATTATAACCAAAAACCTATGCAAAATTAAAATAGAACAATGATACTAATCTATATATGATTAATGATTCTCTTGGAAAATGGTTTGAATCCCATCATCCCAAGAGTTTTCATGATTTGCGTCAATCACACCAGAACAATTCATGTTAAAAATGTAATCTGACTTTTCCTGCCCCACTTCTGAAACATATTTTGAGACAATAAATATTTAAACTCAATAAACAATAATCTATTACTCCAGTCTGTGTGAACACATTTCTGCATTTATAACTTTTCTTTAATGATCAATTTTATACAGAATGCTTATATATATATATATGAACATTTTTTGTCTGTTACCACACGTATTGGAATGTGTCCTGATGTCTTTTTTTTGCACAAAATAGAAACCTCCCTACCAATTTTTTCTTTTAATAATTACCTCATTTAACTTAATTTCTGCTGTACTTGAAGAATAATTTAAACCTCTTAAAAAGTGAAATAAATTTAATGGACATCTCTTTGCCTTATGGTATACAGGGAATGCTTACTATGCAATTATGATACTAAAATAAAAAAAAGGAATAATGCCTGCTGCTCTATTGTTTTTGTGAAGTCCTGTAAGTCTCATACACAAACTGCAAATTTCCTTGTTGCAGACCAAGGTCATAGAAGAGTGAGAAAGTCAGATCTTCACTCAAGTGAAAAAAGTGGTAAGTTTGCATGATAGAAATTGACCTTTCTGACCAGATTATACCACCACACTATCATTAAAAGGAATAAAAAATTAACTTTCTTGGAAATTTAAATATAAAAAAAGACAAGAACATAATTCAAGTTTGATATATAAGTCATTACTTGACAGAAATGTGTTCACGGAGTCATTACTTAGATTGTCTTCATTTGGTGTGCTGGAGACCTACACAAACACTGGCTGGAACGTGCAAGTCACATCAAATAACAGGTAGGCCTACGGAACTATCCTTTAGAAATAACTGATTAACTAATTCCACAGAGCATAGTTATGAGCCTGCGTAGCTCAGTCAGTATAGTGACTAGCTACGGACTGGGCGACAGGGGTTCGATACCCGACGGGGGCAGAGGATTTTTCCTCTAGCCTCTGCGTCCAGACCGGCTCTGGGGCCCACCCAGCCTCCTCTACAATGGGTACCGGGGTCCTTTCCCGGGGTAAAGCCGGCCGGGGCGTGATGCTGACCACTCACCCCCATCTAGTGCTGAGGTCAAGGAAGAGAGGAGCTATACCTCCACTCACCCCAAACGCCTACATGGCACGTAGCAGGACAAACTTTACTTTACTCTAAATTATAGCTTTTATTACATATAATTGAAATTTGATATAATATAAATGTGTCTTTCATTTTATTTTCAGATTTCTGAAAAATATGGATTTATTCGTACGTGAAGTGAGAAAAGAAGATTTGGAGATTTTATTATGCCAGCAATTAGGGCAGGATGTGAAGTTAGACAGCTACAAAGTCAGGACCCTCACACAACCTGGAGACAATTACAACAGCACCATGCTTGCCGTGGATGTCGTCTTTCAGCAGCACTCAAAGACACCACACACTCGTTCGCTGGTAGCTAAGCTCTTACCACCAACCAAGTTCCTCTGCGAGGTAATCAACATCGACGTGACATTTCGGAAAGAGGTGAATGCCTACGCGCTAGTGTTCCCAGAATTTTATCGTTTACAGAGAGGAAGAGAAATACCTGAAAGTGAAATCCTAGATGTGTTCCCAAAACTGTACGGTGCTCGCATAAACAGGAACGGAGACAGAAATGAGAAAGCAGATGAAACTGCTATTCTTCTGCTGGAGAACTTGAAAATATCTGGTTATGAGACTGGAGATCGCAGAAATGGCCTCAATCTGAAACACATGGAACTAGGAGTGTCACAACTGGCCAGATTCCACGCTGTCTCAGTGGCACTCAAAATTCAGAAACCACGATTGTTTAAGGAAACAGTCCTCAGGGCTTGTGAGAGTTTTAAGATAGCTAGTCAAGTGGACGAAACAGGCTTACCGAAGTGGATTTCGTCAACGATGAAGTACGTCAAAGAAATCCCACAATGTGAACCATATTTAAAAAAAATAGAGAGTTCTTTAATTCAGTTTGTCAAGAAAGAATTATCACCAAAGGAACCATTCGCTGCATTCATTCACAATGACTTGTGGGTAAATAACATAATGTTTCAATATAAGAAAGGCGAAACCGAGACTCCCACCGGAATAAAATTTGTGGATTTCCAGTTAACGCAGTTCTCATCACCAGCCAAAGACTTGATTTTCTTCATATACAGTAGCGCTACGCTAGATGTGATAGACAGTCACTATGATGATTTTGTGCTTCTTTATCACCGTGAATTCATCAAATGCCTCACCAGGCTAGGTTGCGATATTGATCCATTCTCTTTTCTGAAACTTCAAGAAGAAATCAACGTATTTGGTTCTTCGGAATTTGCACACATACTTATGATGTTAAAATTTATTTGCGCTGATCAAAAGCAAGTGCCTGAATTGTCCAGTAATCAAATTGAAGAATTACTTGAAGTTAACACAGGAGGTGACATTTATGTAAACAAAGTAATACATCTGGTTGAAGATTTTATGCATAAGGGCTGGCTATAATCATGTTTTTGGTTATGAATAAAAGTTTCATTGGAAGCGTCAAACACAAATACTGAACGTGAAGTAAGATCTATACTTACATTATACTGTAAAATATTTAAAATATCTTAAAGTAGATTAAATTAATATTACATAAATAATAATTTATTTGATAAGCAAAGCATAAGGTTAAAGGTTGGTACGCTGAGACGTATTTTCGTGAAAATTACTTAAACAGAACTAGTGGATTGTTTGGATCGGTCAGACAATTGGAAATGTAACGAGTTCTAGAAAATGCATAAAGAATGTAATATGATCATTTTCCTCTGAAAATTTGTTAAAAATGAATCTGTACTTTCATCTACATATAATACATATGGAACTTATGCACTCTCATAAGCTTCTTTATTGACTATTCTTGTTTGCTTCTTACATGTATTTCAAAGATAAGGAAATGCATAAACATAATGGAATTTGAAAATTTCATGGTTTTGTAATAGTTGCTGTAGCTTATCAGAAACACTAAGTTCTTAATTCAAAGGGTTTGACTTTTGTTGATGCGTAATACTACAGAATGGCAGATTTAAAATCGTTTATGTGTATGTCACTGTATGTCTTGTCTTATACTAATGAAGTACATTCACATTATGATTTAATTATATGGGACGGAGGGTTTATACAATTATTTGCACACTCCTTTGCAGACATGATAAGAAAGCTTAATAATACATAACAAGGCTGTATAACTTATTTACACTACATAATTTACATGCACTAAAGGAAATGATATGCAAATAAATCTGCACAAAAATTCACTTAATATTAAAATACACAAGTCACAAAGAGAGATAACTGTGCTAGTAAACAGTGTTCTCAGATAGCAGGTGACGTGGAATCACGTACTCCATGAAAACGGCTTGTCGATTCATAGCATAGCATACAGAAATTTTACGTCTTCAGCTAAACAGTAATGGGCTCAGCAAGTAACTGGAAAGCAGACCCCAGATTGCTGAAAAATACCTACCCCTATTAGATGTGGTCTACACACTCCCTCAGATGCTGATGATTACATGCCTAGATGGTTACGCCGAGGATATTCATTAATTGGAGCAGTAATGCATACGAATGCGTCAAAAAACACTGCTCACCTCTGTGAGCTTTCATGACTTACCTAGACTTAAGTACTTATAATGATCACACTAACCACTACTTCTCCAGAGACTTAACTTAGTACTGAATACATTTTCCTTTCGATTCTAAATGACTCGTTGAACAGACAGACAACAGAAATTCATGAATTATCATATACAATACATAGTTATTAATAAATCATGATGGTGTCTCTACGAGGGGGTCCGCAGTGGCCGCGCACTCTGAGGCGTGGGCCTTGTGCCGCTTGGTCGCTGGGACCGTGGGTTCGAATCCCACTCAACCCATGGTTGTTTGTCGGCGTTTTTCTGTGTTGTGCTGTCCTGTGTACAGGTAGAGGCCTTGCGATGGGCCGATCCCTCGTCCAAGGAGTCCTACCGAATGTCTATAGATCAAGCCAACGGAAGGAAAAAGTTGGGACCCGCAGTGCTCAGGCACTTGAAGAACGGGTCGTTCCCAGTATCCCAGTCTCTAGGACACATCTTGAAAACTACCTGAGCATATTATTAGCTTTTGAAGAAGGACTCTGCGGCTTGGAGTTAATTAGCTACAGAATGCCCCCATTAAAGGCATGAGTCTGCACTGCCATTACAAGGTTATTAATTATTAATTAAAAGATTACATGAACTGAGGAAATAAACACAACTCAGACAACAGGAATGAAATATAGGAGCATCAACAATTCAAATATGAAGCAGAAATGTTAACCCTTGTATAAAGCATTTTCTGGACTCATCAAGTATTTAATTACACATGACTAATATTAGATATATTATTTTTATGTGGATTGTGGCCTTCTGAATTATATAATATGTAATCTTGTAAGAGATTATTAATATTCTGGAGAAACACACACCTTCCATCTTTAGGGTAGAAGCTGGTGGTATGTTCCTCTGAAATACTGGTAACTATCTGTAAGACTACCTTGTCGTGGTGGTGGGGTTCGAGTACCTCAGTAATTCCAAGAGCTACTGGTAGGGCCTCCCTAGCCAGATTGGTTGAGGGGGAGAGGTCAGACTAAGACAGGTACCCTGGTCCTCCAGGTTGGGGGTTGGTCGCAAGGCTAACAACCTTGCACCGTAAAAAGGAAGATGTTTCGAAACCTCGATCAAATCCTCGGACAGACGGACCTAACAGAGGACCGAATGGAAGAGGAGAACTGAGGAGACCATGGACCGAATACGGACCGGAGAGCCATAGGAGAAGAAGATCTGTAAGACTACATGATGTCATAACACAACCTATATTTTTACTGCTATGTAAACCTCAAATCCCACATGCATTATTTTTACTGGCAATACATCTTCAAACTTGATATTACTGTGAAGAGATGATACAATTTATAATAAAGCTGATTAATATAAAAATGTGATAAGACATGCACGTAAAGATCAAGGTCACAGAGACGACCCAAAAAAAATAGCCTTGCATCAACAATCTCCCATCTCAAGCGCTTCACTTATCACCGAGATAATAACAAGATAAGAATTATGAAAGTCATATTCCACTCGAAATCTTATATAATAACATCTGAAAATTGCTCGCCTCAGTTAGTAACTCATTTTGCTTCAGAGTGGAAGTGAGTATGTTTTACAGATGCATTTGTACTTCTAATATTTTAGTTCCTAAGTTACACTTAAAAATTACTTTCATTTCGTTTTCTGTGATAAATTAGGCCTGTTCTGATCCATAATTAATAATGTAAGTATGAATCTTTTAGACATTTAGGAGGAAACGTGGATGGGGAATTAGCCCACTGTAAGGTCTTTATCTACACAGAGCAATGCAAGAAACATATAAAATTCAGAAATGAAACTTAGGGCCTCGGTGCTTGAGAAATGCACAACATGGTCAGCACACGAGCACATAAGACGGCAGCAACGCCAGTGCCACTAAGTGCAGAGTTCTGAAACGCAGTATAGTGACAGATCATTTTAAAAAAAAAGTGTTACATTAATTTTTTGTTGTAAAACATAAAATAACAACGTGCAGTTGCACAAAATCAATATTTAGCTTTTGGTGTGATGGCAATAACTGATGAATCAATGGATCGTGGTGTTTGAAATTTGGTACGAAAATAGATTATAACCATGCCCACAAATTTTGAACTAAATATTATTTGTGAGTCGACAATAAAAAGAATTTCGGATTCAGTTTACGATCATCTGCACATGAGTCCTGCATGTATTCTGTTGTTTGCATTATCTAAACATGACATTAAAAAAAGAACACAGTTTGTGATATTTTAAGTTGTTTGTCTAATTAGGACAATAAATGTTTTTTCCACAAATCTTCCCTGTAATTATCAGATTAAGAGAAATATCAGCATATACTGTGTATATATATATATATATAATTACTGAATAGATTTTAACATATAAACGTAAAGTTAAGGCTTTCTATTTGAAACTGCAATCAATTTCTAATAAAAAAACAAAACAGCAGAGTAGAAAAACCAAAATGAATGTTTAAAGCTTACGCTCTTATTCTAATGACAGTAACAGTGGAATCCATGTCAAAATTGTTTCCCCCCACTATGACAATATAAGAAAACGTGATAACTTAATTTTCAGAACAAGTGATGTGTTCATACGCTCATAAATTTGGGGGGGGGGGGGGATAAAAAAAAAATAAGAGAAAGTATGTGGACAGTTTAAACAACGAGGTTAGCGCAAATTAGTTGTTAGAGCATCTTTTCTTTTTCTCATTAACACACATAAAACAATTTACATATATTTTTCTATTACAGGTTTTTGCCCGGATTCCATCCAACCCTAAAGTACCCTAATGCCTCAACTCAACAAACATGACTTGGAAGCTCTGTTACGCCCCACACTGGGCCAAGATTTGGCGGTAGAATCGTTCACATCCGAAGCTCTAACTCAGCCAGGAGAAAATTATGGAAGCACCATGCTAGCAATCGAAGTCAGTATTCGTGAAAGAAAAGACGACACAAGTCATAATCTGTCACTAGTAGCCAAGTTAGTGCCCCCAACTGAATTCCTTTGGAAATTATTTGACTCACCAAATACATTTTGCAAAGAAATAACTTGTTACACATCAGTCAAAATGGAAATCAATAAACTACAAAATGAAAAGTGCATCCCTAAGGATAAATATCTCGACGTGTTTCCTAAATGCTACGGCGCTCGCACAACACTGTCAGAAGAAATTGGTGATAAAGCTGATAAAAATGCAGCAATTCTTCTAGAGAACTTAAAAGCGGCAAATTATCGTTTAGGGGATCGCAGAGTGGGGCTTGATCTGAAACACGTACAGCTGGTAGTGTCCAAGCTTGGACATTTCCACGCACTTACAGTGGCTCTCAAGATATTGAAACCTCAAATATTTAAAGACACAGTTCTGAAAGCTTGTAAACCTCATACCGCAAGCTTTGATGAGGCAGAGATGCAGGCAAATACTTTGAGACTACTGCAAGGTTTGAAGGTAATTCCTGGATGTGAAATTTACCTCGAAAAAATACAGAAAGCCTCAGAAATGTCAAATAAAACTCAACTAGATAAATCTTTACTACCACCGAGGGAGCCGTATGCAGCATTTAGTCACACTGATCTCTGGGTCAATAATATGATGTTCTGTTACGACAATGAAAATAATCCTGTCGGTGTGAAATTTCTAGATTTTCAGGGTGTTGTATATCATTCACCAGTGAAGGATCTATTATTCTTTTTATATACCAGTGCAGCTGAGGGAGTCAGAGCTAAGCACCACGAAGAACTCATACGCCTGTATCACAGAAACTTCATCGACTGTCTGAAGGATATGGGTTGTGACATCGGTCCGTTTACCTTCCAAACGCTGCTGGATGAAATAGAAGAGTTTGCGCTTTCAGAGGTAGACCATGTTCTATTTATGTTGAAGCCAATTTGCGCTGATAAGAGTGAGGTACCTGAACTATCAGGAATTGACCTCGAGTCACTTTACCAAGAACCCAACGAAATATACAAAAGAAAAGCAAAAGAATTTATTATTGACTATGCGCAAAGAGGTTGGTTATAAAATGCACTGATATTTGAATTCACCCATGAACTTGTAAGCTCAATATAAAGTTTCAGATGAATCTGTTGACTGAAACATGTGACCAACAACTTCCCCCTCCCTATGTCATTTTATTATAAACGGTGCATAGAAATTCAGAAACGCAGCAAACTGACAAACCAAAAGGGAGAGATGGGTAACGGCTACTGGAATTCTATGCAGATGTATGTTTTACATATACTCCTTGGCTACAGACTATTTTATAACATTCAATTCTTTCGACATGACACGCGTATAAGTTGAGTGCATCACATACTACAAATTTTATTTAATAAATACTTGTGTAATAACTGACGACTACTATTCGACAACTTACAGTCTTATAATCTGCCACGAAATGTTAATTTCTTTGGAACAATGTGGAAAAAGCAATGGCTAGTGACAAGATATAAATGTGCTTTGGAACAATGTGGAAAAAGCAATGGTTAGTGACAAAATATAAATATAAAATGAGACAAAATATGTTTTTGTTAATAATATAAAACACTTTACTATTTCAATACAAGAGACTACGACAACCAACATTCAGAACATGTGATGTGTTTCTTATATTCTTATGTCATGCTTCCAAGTTCAAAGTCAAATACATAAAAAATTATGCTTATTATGATGTCGCCAATTTCTTACTGCAGCTTACACTTACAATCACAGATCCGTACTGGAAGATGCTCTGTCTTCATCGTCTGTGTTCTCAATATTCAGACCTGGTATAACCACATGACTAGGTGATGAACCTTGTGAATCACTCAAGGTGACAGCCCTGTCGACATAAAAACACGATTTAGGAAACATATTGCCCTTATAACGACAAACATGAAATGGAATTCTAAATACTAATACATTTATCATATTTATTTGCACAATCTTCATAAGCAAAATAAAAATATGCGTTAGGGCAACAAGTACTTTGTAATAAGTACACTGCGGCATATGGCATTCACTAACAATAATTGATATTAATATAAGGATAAGACCTGTGGACTAGTGGTTAGCGTGCTCGCCACTGGACCCAAGGTTTGCGGGTTCAAACCCAGCCAAGGTCGATAAAAATCCGTGGCACAACTGCCTTCAGAGGGAAAATAAAGCCGGCGGTCCCGTGTCATGGATTTATGACGCGTAAAAGAACCTTATTAGCACGAACAAGATGTTTCATAAGCAAAATTCAGCGGCCATTTCTCACCCGAGACTTTCCTGATTCGCTACTAGATGGGTCTAGCAGACAAATCAGGACTGAGTAAAACTGTGCAGAGGAAGTGGGCACTACTCATAAATGCATGCTTCAAAAAGACAAAGAAACCTCCCACATGGGAGGAGGCCAAGGCTTGACTTCGGGCTGTCGCTCCATAGAAGAAGATAAGGATAAGACAGTATTAAATAAGATGAGAGAACATTTAGGAACAATGGAAAACTGTCATCTCTCATGAATATTCAATGAATATGAAGCCAAAGGAAGGTGAGACCAATAGAATCCAATTTTATAGTAAATATTCTAAACATTTTAAAGTGGAATATTATGAATTAAATTTGGAACTAGATTAGGCTAAAGACCTTATTTTTACTACCAGAATAAGAAATGAAAATATACAAAGAATATTTTATAAAGGTCAAAAACAAATTTAAAGACTGGAAATCAATGGTGTCACAAAATCACAGCACTCCACAATGAGACCTGACCTTAAGATGAATCAGCTTTGTCCATGACAGAACGCCTTCTGACTTAGCAGGTTGCAATCTTGGTATCTGTCGGAAGTGCGGTACTGTCTCTTGCTGATACGCTTGTACTGGTTGTACTAGTCGTTCTCATCACTTCACCTTGCCATAAAACGGTGTAGTTAACAGAACATCTCGATATGGCTGGTACAGTTGATGTAAATGTTACATGGACTGTTTGTTCTCCTGATGCATTAAGCGCAATTAAAGGAAGTGAGAACACAGACTCTGGAGAAGTGACTATGATCTTCTGGTGAGGCGTAGGTGGAGAAGCTGTTTGTGTAGCAGTTGATGAATCTCTGCGAGAAATTCTCTGGGTTGTATTAAAACCTGTGATATTTGGAGACTTTTCAACTTCTGCCGTCTGTCGATTGGCTAGCGGACTTCTTGACGACACGCGGGCGGATGGCAGAGGGTACGGAATTGACTGACTGACTGAAGTTGTGCAGGGAAATCTTGTACTTGGCATGGAATGTGAGGTCATCACATATCCATGAGGTTGTGCTCTGGCCAAGATGCCCTTTCCACTTTTACCAGGAGAAGACGAGCTATGGGAAGTTGTGGTGATTTGGCCATGACCATTAGGAGGCCGGAGAAATCTGAGGAAGCAGTTATACAACAGGATGAGAATTCTGAAGGGTAAGGAGTTTGCAGGTAGCGTGTCGTTTTAGGGCTTGGAGGCGGTTTGGTTGCCAAAATACGTGACAGCCATACTATTTCCAGTACTACCAAGCTTGAAAATAAATCCCTAAGAGAGTATTTAGTATTTAAGGTTTCTTGGAGATGGCCGTCTTCTGGGTTGTAGCGCCATATAGTCTGGTAGAAGTCTGCCAACATTTCAGAGGTCCTTGCAGCTTGAAATGTTGGTAAACTTCTATCAGACTACACGGTGCTACAACCCAGAAGACAGTCATCTTCTATGTAGAGAGTGTTTTCAAAAGAGTACATAATACACAATCTCACCAGACCTCCTCTTGACCACCTGAATAGATCGTGAACTACGAAGAACTACGCGACACACACCCCTGACCATAAAAATTATCCTATTATTATATATGATCCTATTCAGTTCTTGCACTATGAATTAAATACGTAGGATTACCTTCTACGCTCCTCTTCCATTCGAACCCGTTCAAAGCGTTCGCTGGTTACACGCCTTTGTAATTCTGAAACCTGCTGACTCAATTCAGTAGCCTGTTTCTGTCTCCATTGCAGTTCTGATGAACTTTTATCACTACAAAAAAAGCACGCTATATTACTTTAACAAACACTGAATAAGAATGAGTATATTAAACACATGCAAAATGGCTGGCACATAGGCTGAATGTGACGCCGAGCCGGACTCGCAAGCCAGACTCGTACGTGGATGGGCCGCTTAAGCATTTATCTGGCTTACAGTTATACTAAGACTATATTTCAGCAAACATGGCAATTTTAGACAGGTGTTTGCATACTGCCCCACTTAATGGTACCTGCACCTTGTCGTGGTGGTGGGGCTAGAGTACCTCAGTGACCCCAAGAGCAATGCTGGTGGTCGCATAGCTACTGGTAGGGTCTCCCTAGCAGATTGGTCGAGGGGGAGAGGTACCCTGGTCCTCCAGGTTGGGGGTTGGTCGCAAGGCTAACAACCTTGCACCGTAAAAAGGAAGATGTTTTTAAACCTCGATCAAAGCCTCGGACAGGCGGACTGAATGGAAGAGGAGAATTGAGGAGGCCATGGACTGAATACGGACCAGAGAGCCATAGAAGAAGAAGAACTTTGCATACTGACTATTCTGTGCTGCATGTCATCTCTTCGAAAATTCTCTGTTATTATGCATCATAAGATACTGACTTAATTATAATGGACAGGGTAATAGAACCATTTGGCAATGGTACTAACCCCATACAGCAGTTAAGCACAAAAAACAGCAAATTCTGGTAAAAAAATGTTATGTTATAAGCAGAAGACTTATAAAACTTTTCATATTTCATTATATGCGACATCTATTCATTCGTGCCTTGACAAACTTACAGTTTTTTCTGCATATCCGCAATCTTTTGACAGAGGCTGTTCACCTCTGCCTGTGTTCCTTGATTTGCGAGCTTCTGATCAAATGTTTCCTTGCGACATGATGACAGGAGGTTCTCGAGGGATTCAATCGATTTGCGATCCTTAGTCAGCTGTTCCTGCAGCGCTTGCTGCTCGTCAAGCAGTCGTGCCAACTCTGACTCCAGCTGATAGAGATACAGAAAACAGCTGAATCAGAAATATATATATGATATGGTTATTGAACAAGAAATTCTTTAAAAGAAGTAGACCCACAGAAACACAGGCAGAAGAAAATATCACAAATATGGTTCACATTGTTCACCAACGAGAAGATGTATGTAAGCTAAGATAAATCAGAAAATAATCATTACTAAACCAGCAGAATGAAGTAATTGATGATTATTCATATGAAAAGTAAATGATAATTTTGAATTTCATAGACGGTGATGACTGGTCTCAAAAATTGGTCAAAAGTCCTCTAATAGAGAAAAGAGGGATTACTAAGTTAGTTACGTCCGTACCCGCATTTTAATGTTGCCATTCTCGGTGACTTCATGCATTAATTTGTCTTTCTGTTTGTCCAGTTTGGTACATAAATCTCGTACCACGCCCAAGTCCTCTTCTGCGCGACTTCTTCGACACAATTCATCACGAAGTTGAGTTTCGAGATGGGCAATATTTCCTGACAATTCTGCTATCTGAAAGTAAGCTTAAAGTTACCACAAAATTATAATGTGTGGCTGATATTTAACGGGAAATGAACAAATGTTGGATCGTAGCCTCAAAATCTTCAGCACAAAGGAAGAGTCTCCTCGTTAATGAAACGAAACAAAGCAGCACAGACCTGATGTTCGTAGCCGTTTACCAGCGTATCCTTAGATTCAAGGAGCCGCTCTAGATCAGCGATACGGTCGTTGGCAACGCGCAATCGTGTCCTGGCATCTTGCATTTCTGTCTCTAGGCCGTGATTATTATTCTCCAAGGTAGATGCCTCCATGCTCAAGCTGCGGAAGTGGTCCAGCATCTCATTTCTCTCGCCTTCCTGGCAACATATTTATCACTGAACTGATCCGCGTTAGAACAATTTAGTCCGCTTACAAAACAAAAGGGATGGAGAATTCCTTGGCAATGAGCAGTCTCTTTCAGAGACACTTACCAAGTATGTTCATATTATACATTTTTTAATAAAGTCCTTAATTCGTCGCCATCTTATGTGTATGGTATAAATCTCAACGTCTGATATTTTCAGAAATTACTACTATATTAAATTGAAATCATCCCTAGTTAATATTATGTTATGAAAAGTTTTCAGTTTGCAAGTTTCAATGTAAATATCACTTGAATAAACACTTCTGGTGTCCCAATCTCATTACAAATAATTCAGTTCCAAAAAAAACAAAATCCATATAAAATTATACCTTCGTAGCAAGCATATCTTCCACTCGTCTCACTTCCGACACATATTCCTGTAACTGACGTTTCAAGTTTTCTACTTCTTGACGAGACACTTCAAGGTCGTTGTTAGCTCGTCGGCAATCTTCCGTTAGACTAGATAAGTCAGAATGAAGGCGCCTGTTAAAAGGACACAGATAATTTAATTTGAGGAAGTAGAGGCAGGAAAATAAATATATTTAAAAAGAGAGCTTACATATAATTTTATATATTGTATATGTACACACACACATTTGTTGATATTAGAATGTCTGAAAGCTGTAACAAGAATAAAACACAACGTAATGTACGTTACAAAAATGTAGTTTCTTATTATAATCATAACTGGTCCACATCACATTCAATCAATAATAATTTAAAAGATTTATTTCATTTTGAAGCCAAGTTAAAAATTAACGAAGCCATGTTTCTTTAATTTTTATGCTAGGATAATTCTGTCGTGTTCTGTTCAACAAAATATCAGCGCTTCCTAATATATTCTTCCCGATTACTCAGGAAATGCGAGTTTCTCACCGTGACGAGCTTAGAGTTTAATCCTAACCTGTTTTCAGCAAGAGCAGATGCTCTAGATTGTTCCACCATCTCCAGCTCACGCCGCAGGCCCTCTGCGTCACGTTCAGTAGATCTTACCTTCGCGTCTCTTGAGGCAATGTCGTCTAATGCAATACTATAAGAAAATAAATAAATAAATAATCTGAAGATGCTTTTTAACAAAGAAAATAACATCGAATTTGCTAGCTGTGGCTGAAATGTTAATAAATAAATATTTACAGGTAGATTCTACAGTTAAAGACTTTTTAAACATAAATTCTATGAAATTATGCAACAGATTTAATGAAAACATGCTGGATGGTGATCAGCGAGGCCATTTATGTGTTATGTAAATTGTTTCACACACAAATCACAGGTGAGATGATGACCTAGAATACGGAGAGCCAACTGAGTCATCACACACTGTGACGATGACAGTAAACCTATTTCACTTTCACTACTCGGAAGCCTTGCGAAATAATTATCACAAGGAACGTACAAATGTTATGGTGGCACATGCAAATGAAGTCTATTGCAAAAACAACTTAAGACACGAAACAGCTGGTAGGAATACCGTATTTTAGTAATGGGTGGTAAGTGATTTGTGTGTGTGTGTCCAAAACCCCGATAAAACACATGTTAAAAGATTTCTTTAAACTTCAAAATAGCTTAAAAAATCAAATTTAAATAGGAACAGGTCGATAATAACGCCTGTTCATCGACCATAGAGTACTAAATACGAATCTCTAAATTTTCAGTGGATTTTCTTTTAGGCAGCGCAGCCGTGAAGAGAACTCTGGCTTTATCGGCCAGCCGACTCGTACCTCCCCGAGACCCAAATTTTCTTTTAACGTCCACTACTGTACATGACGTATGAGAAACGCAGTCATTCAGTCGCGTTATAGCCATCATACGAGTCGAAGTTACCGATAATATAAACGCCAGTTTCATTAGTATGTCTGTTCGTTTCTCCATCTAACCAAAGTTACTGACACAACCCTGACGTATAAGTTAACAATTTTCCAGCATTGCCAAGGCTATTGGTACGCAGACTTTGATTATTCTGTTCACATAATTATCACGTGAAAAGCGATTACCAAGGTTGCCCTTTGGTTACCACAAACTGACGGATGGCGTAATTTGCAACCGACTGAAAGAGAAAGTTATTCACTTTGAGAGTATACGAACCATTGTCGACTGAGGATTCCACCGGGGTCAAGCATGTGTTGCGTGTGGTAAGACTTGAACGTAACCAAAACTCATTTTTCCAGTCGGTAAACAAAATTTTGCGACGTAAATTAACATACGTTGTGAGTCATTTGTGGTCAGCACTAATCTGTTAGAGATGCCCGGTTCTCACAGCAGTGTAAATGTCAACGCTGCCCTTCTGGGTTTGTAAGGCCGTGTGCACTTGTAGGTAGAAACCAACGCTTCGGATAAACAAACTGCCACCATCTTCAGGGGTGAATCTATTAGCTGACTTTTGCGATGCTGATGTTAATTTAATCGTTATATATTTCGGCCCACGTCTAGATATGAACAAAGCCCGAGGATTGTCAATTCAGTCACTTACAGAATGTTTAAGTTATTTCTTATATCATTATCATAATTCACGTAGGAGCGAGAGGTTTTGTATCAAAAGGAGAGTGGCAAAGATCTTTATTATGAAGCAGAGATTTTATTTACGATACAAATCAAGCCAAGAAATGGATTTAGGCGTATTAAAATTCAGGTTCCTTAGCGAATTGATTCGTAGCGATTAAATTTTCCATTTAATTAATCATTGAATTTCCTAGTGAAACGATGACCAGAATAGAAATTTTATATATATATAAAAAAAGTCAATTTAATCCATTGCAGAAAGCAATGACCGACAAATGAAAATGTCAAAGCCAGACACCGCTAACAATTCGCAGGATTTCCTGCTGCTGAGTCCAGTTTATTACAAAGGCTAAAATACACCGTGAGTCTACGTCAGAATCTGTAAAGGTTTTTTTTAAGGGATATTATTTGTGTTCCATGTTTTTTTTAAAACTGAAATATTATTTTACTGAAAGACCAAATTTCACTTTCCCTAAGTCATGAGAGAAAGTGATTTACTCTCTCTCAGAATGAACAAACTAGCGATGACTACGCGTGATCTATCATCAGTTAGCCTGTCACAAGGCGCGCTTACAATTATCATCACTGTCTAATCCCAGACATCACAGCCGATGACTACTTCTGGCCCTTTCAACTAAATAACATTTGAGAATTCAGTCCGTACCTCAAAGAAAACAGCGGTTCACCATTACAAAGTTCAGCTGGTCTAAATATTACGCGACGATGGACGTGATTCTTAATTAATTTTGACTGTAGTTGGGTTTACGTTTTAAATTAAGTTCACCATTCTAAAAAAAAGTTTTCAACAAAAATTTTAAACGTGGGATATGCATTTTGTCATACACCGATGTACCACTTTCGAGACATGTAACCAAATTAAATTTGGACTCCATGTAAATCTGTGTATTATACTTCATACGCGTATACTAAATTAATATGTACATCACAGTCTTTAAAGTGGGCCATCGATTTCAAAATCTAAGTAAAACACATTTTATACTTTCGAAGACTAATTTACGTGATATTAACGACCTCAAAACTTAACACACAAGAAGCGCACGTCTGAAACACATTTTAATCGTGTTCGTTCTCTGTGTTTCAGTTCAGCGCATTAACATTCGGTATGGCGAGTACTTCCGGTGGAGGCTGGGAAAGAGGTGGGGCAGAGGACACTAGACGGCAAGACCAGTGCGGCCTGAGCTGGCCCCAAGCAAGGCAGGAACATGCAACAAGCTCTCAAAAGTCCGAAAGCATAGCATCACTTCTGTTTCCGGATAAAACCATCACGCAGGTACGTACACACCGATCTTCAACCTTGTGAACCCTTCGTGACAGGAATTGTTGGTAGAAGTTTTCCGTCGTTCTAGAAGTGTGATCGCTTTGATCATGGAAGCAGTAAGCACCTCCGAAACGTCGGTAACATCCCAGACGACAGTCATTTTCAGAAATTTTCCTCTTTAACCGGGGGCAAAGTGGTTGGAGAGCGAACCTGATCTAGTACCGAGATTACGAATAAGTGGAGCTATACCTCCACTCGCCATACGTTTCTGTGGTGTGGTACTTAATAAAGCAAAGTGGCTATAATTTCTGTAGTGGCACAATTTTCTACAAGAATAATAAAGGCGATGTACATTGGTGAGTCAGAAATCATTTTAATATCTCAATTCCAGAGGAAATAAAACCAAAGAATATATTAATTATTAGGATGATGACATCAGAGAGAATGTGCAGGGCATGTGACACGCATGGAGGAAGACAAATGCGTACATAATTTTTGTTAAAAAAATCTTGAAAGGAAGATACAATTGGGAATTTAGGCGTTGGTTTGACGATAATATTAAAATGAATCTTAGAGAAACGGGGCTTAAATTGGCTTTGTTCTGGCACAGTATAAGTAATAAGGATGGTGAAGAGTTGTGTTTTCTTCGCGGCACGGACTGAATTCTTAAATATTATTTTCGATTTTTGTAATGGTGAAGTCGTGTGTTTTCTTCGCGGTACGGACTGAATTCTTAAATATTATTTAGATAAACGTTGTGCTTCAAAATGTAACAGGTTCGAGATTTTAATTTCTTGGTAAAAGAACAGTCGAGGAAGCCTGAAACCAAATTGTGTAAAAAAAATTTATCGCCGCTCGAAGTCAAATTTCTTTCCGGTTTTATTTCCGGCACGTTCAGAATTGTGATGTAAATAAAAATGACCAGAAAGTTAACCTCCAATAATGAGTAAGCAATAACAACTACATTTCCTTAACTTTCCCTTCAGAAAGCTGGTTGCGTCGAAGAAATTTACGGCACGAAAATTGTTATGATTAAGTAATCAGTTATATTCAGCTGTGGAGAACCATTCTGCTCAAGAAAGGTGAAAAAATGTTCACCAGTAAAATAAAAATAGGAGATTCTGAGGTCTGGACAAGGATAGACGAAAGACACAGTACGATAGCGAGTTTTTAGACCAAGCTTATTCGTACTTGTGAAGCTCGGCTAAGAGTAGACGTACACAGAACTCCCAAAGCTCGTAAAATTAATTAATTAATTAAAATATCGCTTTAGGGTTAATGACTAAAACTGAAAACTTCTGAATTAGGGCAATGCTTTCTTATTTTTTTTAACGCAATCCAATGGAAGAATACCTTATATCACTGGGACCCATAAAAACATATTTTTATTTTAATCACTAAAGTAATATTTAATTTTGGAGCGATCTAATTAATTTTAAACATATTTACAAAATGGTTTTCTTCTCGCCATGTTAATACGTCACGTCTCCACTGTCAAGGGCGGTGAGTTGAACGCTGATTATTCTGTGAATCAGATTAAATCAATGTAAGTCTGAGGCCGATCTTACGAGGTACGGACTGGAATGCCATTGTTCCAGCAAACATAAGCCTATATGTGTATTGTCTTCCAAGCGCATCAACGCACGTATTTTCAGATCTGGGCGGAGGTGAAACGAGCAGCTTAGATTTATAACCCCAACTCTTGAAGTGCGGTGTTCTGTAATCGTCCTTGAGATGTGGAATGCCGCTGAGAATTTAAAGCATTCCCCACGAGACAAAAGATGCTACAATGAAAAAAAAATCACCTTTCCCCCATCCCCCTTGAGTTGCCCTCTGGATATCTTTACCAGTATTAGCATAAAGATTTTTCCGTCGGTGAATTTCCAAACAATGCAATCGTGTGACAATGGCTACACGATTAGTTAGCGGTCGTCGTCATAACAATAAAACAAGGACTGTTACGAAACCAACAAGTAGAAAGGGAGAGTGTTTTTTTTTCCATCATGGCTGCCTCGAAGCAATTTCATCGACTGTCTCGCAACCAACTGGAATAAACGTGTGAAAGTCTACACGTGGTTGTCGTTCATATCAAGGCTTCTTAATGTTTCTTAACTTGACAGGCTCACCGAGAGGTCGAAGTGCCTAGTTACTTATTTGTTGTTTACTTAACGATACTTATAACTCACACTATATAGCCCAGAATGATTTTATGCTTAATGAACTGTGAAGGATGTGGAAGGAAGCGGTCATGGCCTTATTTGAGATAATATCCCGGCTCTTTCATCTGAGGGACGGAGGAAAACCACGATGGCCGGTCACCGGGCGGAGATCTGAACCGGGGACCTCCCACATAAGAAGCAGTTTCAACCACTCGGCCGTAACACATGTAAAGTTGAGATTGATATCTGTTGATAGGGCATGCAGAGAAGTGTAACGGCAGGTTCTCTGTTCCTGATCTGTACCATGTGCGCGCAAGCAGCAGTGCTGCCACCACCATGGGCAGATCCTGTTCGCAACCCATGCGCAGCCCAGCCCGGTGGATGGCAATTGCTGTTCTGGCCACAAGATGGACAGTGCTACAGGATATTTCAACAAGGGCCGCCCTGTCCGGAGACGATGGAACTTGGACCGGGAGTGAAGGGAGATGTAGAATGTCGATGCCCACCAGGAATGGCCCAGTTATCCCGAGATGCACCGTGCCATCCACTCTTTAAGCGAGGACCATGTCCTAGCGGGCAGTACTTTGCGCCTGTCCCAGACAAGCCAGGAACATTTAGCACAATGTAATCTTGGAATTTATATAAAGTTATTTAAATTTTATGTTACAGAATATATCTTTGTTATGCATTCTTTGCAGAAAGAGCATAAAATGAACATAAAGTAGAAGGTTGTGTCATCTGTCCATCTATCTGAGTGTTTCACCTCCAAAATTAATGAATGAATTTCAATTAACTCTTGTATCGTGGATCTACATTACAATTTGTAAAAATTAATTTTTGTATTAGTCAAATAGAAATCCTACTTTACATAAATTTAAAATCAGACGTCATTAAAAATAGAAATCCTACTTTACATAAATTTCAAATCAGACATCATTAGTTTTCTTCAAATGCGGCACCATATAAAAATTGGCAAAAGGCATAAAAGACGGAGCTCATTATCATCTACTCGCAATATTTGTTCACATAGTAGATTTTTATGGAAATAAATGTAGGTTCCTGGTAACGCAACTTCAAAATACACTCAATTTTGGTTAATCTAATTACTTCTGTAAAATATAAAACAAGTTCTACTTATTACAGCAGTGACAATGTGCGGTTAAGGCTGGGAACCTGCCGCGAGCCCGATCAATGCCAGGAGACGGATCACGTGTTTTGGGCCCGAGACGAAAGCTGCTATCCACGACACACGAGGGGTCCTTGTCCAAAGGGGGAGATTCTCACAGCCACTGGAAGCAGCAGAATTGGGGAATGCAAATGCAAATCTACGGGCGAACTTGGGCAATATTACTGGGCTCCAGGTGACAGCTGCCACGAGCACTTCACGCGAGGGCCGTGCCTAGAGCCGGGAACGTTATTCCTACCCGGTGGTCAATGCGGCTGTACTGAAGGTCTTCCGCATTATAATGCAGATACAGGACTATGCTATGAAATTGGTGAGAGATTTTTTTGTTTATGGCTATTATTCAAGATTTTATATTTTGATAGACATTTTGGAAATTTTTTGTGAGGAATATAACTAGCTATAGATCAAGTCTTCAAGAACTTTGGAGTCATGGTCAGCAGTTCAAAAATTGAAGTCATTTACAGTGAGAGGGCGACAATATTTTTAACGCCCTGTTCGTGAGATCTACAAAATTTTCTGAAAACCAAGTCACGGCAGTATAACCTTTACAAATAGTGCGGAGAAATTACACCACTGCCAAATTTCAGATTAGGATACATATGCGTCTGTTTTAAAATCATTATTTGTTCTCTTGAAAGTTTAAAAAAAATTACTGCAAAAGAGTCAACTATACATTAAGTAATCAGTCAGTTAATATAGTTTAATCTGATAAAAAGAAGTTATTTTGGATGAAATTATTACCAAAATATATACCGCCTTCAGTTATCATTCACTATTCAGACAAAGTTTGTAAAAAAATATTATATTTTATGAAATATATCCTTATTTATAATTTCAGAATTACGTTTACGGGCTAAAATTATATTTCTGTATATCACATTAAATTCGGTTAATAATTTAATTCGTTTTATAATAAATTGGTGCTTACATTTTCTTCAGGTGGAATTGGACCGTGTCCTCCGGGTCATCTGTTTGCGTTACCAGACGACAATAAAGAAATTTCAAATTCCACAAGAGCGATGTGTAGATGCAAGGAAGGTCATGCGCTGTGGTCAGAAACCGGAGCCTGCTATCGCCTGTACACGCGCGGACCTTGCCCCACGGGACAGTTTCTAGTTAATGCAACTAGTTGCGTACCGATCCCTTGCCGGCAGGGACGGCTATATTTCCCCGAGGAATCAAGCTGTTACAAAATTGGCACTAGAGGACCTTGTCGGCCACATGAAATTGTGCTGTTTGAAAATTCTGTACGACCATCCGTGGACGGGGTATCTTACAGAGGAATGTGCGGATGCTCAAGAGAAATGACAGATGAATCGGCTCAGAATCAGTGCCGTATGACATACAACGAAAGCGAGGTTTCAAAAACGGAATGTGACTCGAAAGGAGGAATGGTGAGGTTGAATGAAACGTGTTACTTACTTTACACGACGGGGCCATGTTCAACGGGTCAGTGGTTAGTGCCGGTACGAGAAGGTAAACAGTGGTTTGAACGAGTCGGATGGAAGAAGAAACTCAAGGCCACGTGTGAATGTAGGCCGGGATATAAACTTGTTAAAACAGCGGTCAGCAGAGACATTAAAACGGGGAGTGCCATTTATACCGAACAGTGCCAGTCGCCATCTGTCACACTTGCGCGTTTTCTGAATCAGAACTACTACGCACAAGAGTAACATTCAAAAACCAAGAACCTTGCTCAAGAGATGTTATCTACCTGCCACTTTGCACTCAAAAAAGATACTGTAACATTCAAAAACCAAGAACCTTGCTTAAGAGATGTTACCTACCTGCCATTTTGCACTCAAAAAAGATACAGCGTATACCGAGTCTGTCCGTCTACAAAGGACACATTCTGCACCCTCAAAGTATCAATATTACTCGTACATCTATTTTATTAAAACTTTAAATATGAACTTGTGTTGAAAATCTACAACTGTAAAACAGAAATGGTAATTCATGCTCCTTACCTTAATTTATTTCTTGTTTCTGCTAGCAATTCCTCCATCCTCGATAACTTGCCTTCTTTTGCCTTTAATTCCTGTTCAAGCATTACTGCCTTTTCTGTCTTGTTGTCAATGTTTATCTGTAACAGAAATAGCATAACATTTGACACTGCAACATAAGTCACAAACTGTTTAACCCAAACTTATGTAATAAAAAAATTACTTTTGAAAAAATCAAATTTCTTGGGTGTATGGAGACAAGTGACTTAGCTATATGGTAATTGATTATATCTGATGCACTTACTAGTAGACCATCCTTTTCTTGATCAACCTGCGCCAAAGTTCCTCTTATAACAGAAATTTCATTCTTCAGTCGAGCTACCTCTTGGTCCGATCTCGCTCGATCTTCTTCCAGCTGTCTGACACATTCTTGGGAATTTGCGAGTTCCATTTCAGATTTAATAAGTTTTCCTTGTGAATCGGCCAGTGCCCGATCTGTCTGTTCTTGCAGGGTCCTAAGTAATAACACAGACAGAATGTTACCGTCAAATTAACTACAACTATTCTATGGCATTCGAGACAGCTATTGACAAAATGGCTAATGGTAAATCTTGAAACAAATCTCTTATTAAAACTACCAATTATAGCACTGAAGTGACAAAACTGCCGCTTCAAGTCTAAGAACTCGTTGATCCGGTCTTTTTAACGACACACATTAATTACACAGGTTACGCAGCATCAGACAGCATGATTTATTATAATTATGAGTAGAAAAGAATGCAGACGGGCAAATTAACAATAAAAGAAGGAGAAAATTTTGTTACGGAAATATCCATTATACTTACTTAATTTGGTTATATAAAGCACGCTGTTCTGTTAGTTCTGTCTTTGCGGTAAAGAGCTGACTCTGTAATGACTTGACCTGGATCTCGAAATTAGAGACAGTTGCGTTCTGAGATCCTTGAGAAGCCAAGAGTTCCCGCCTCTCTGCCTCCAATCTGCGTACTCTTTCCTCACTCTCATTTACGGTCTTCTCAAGTCGAGCATGTTCAGTCACTTGAGTCTCGGTAGCAATCTAATACACAAGCACACACAAACACATACATACTGTCCACAGACCAGGAGAAAAGCCCTGCGGGGAGAAGTCGTTTCTGGGTCAGTGCAGGGGGAATCGCTGTGCCACTGTGAGGTAATCTTAAAGCTGTACCCATTAGAACACATGAAAGCCTGTCGTATGTTGTTCGTTCAGTGGTTGTGGAACGAATGCTTTTAGGATCGGTCGTCACTCACCGCGAAATCTTGCGCATGCGCGTATATCGAATTCCTAGCAGGGCTTTCCTCTTGGTCTGTGGACTGTACTTTCCCACTGTGCCTACTTGATCACAGAGCTTAATTATTAACCTTAATACAGGTACTTCAAGTATCAAAACATCAGAGAGGAGTGAACAGAATGTACAACAGAAGATCTCATCATCTTCATGTGGTATATCCCATTATAACAAATATTCTGTTATAACAATAAAATCCATAAAAAGTTAAATTGGATTAAATTTACATGACCCAGGGCAGATAAATGACTCCATACAGCAAAGCATTAAGGGTCTGAGGGCTGAAATTAACCTTCACTGACCATGCATCACTGACTGCATACCATCCAGCTGACAATGCCCGGAAGTAGCACTGTTAAACAATTATACCCGCAGATAAAGTCCACCTGTGATACTTAATTTGGGGGTTTAAATCAACGATGCGTATGGTAAAGACAAAATTTATCAGTACGGCTGTTTCACCAGCAACATGTATATATGTATATAAATTCGTTGCACACGTCTGTCAAAAATGTAATGATACTAATGGTGGGCAATATTGTCAGGGTGATTAAGTCAAGAAGAATAAGATGGACGGGGCATGTAGCGCACATGGATGGGACAAAAGATGTGCACCGGGTATTGGTTGGGAAGCCTGAGGGGAAGAGACTGCTGGGAAGACCTAGACGCAGATGGGAGGATAATGTCAGGCAGGATCTACGGGAGATAGGAGTCGAAGGAGACTGGATTTTGTTGGCCCAGGACAGGGTCCGGTGGAGGGCTTTGGTTAATTCGGTGATGAACCTTTAGGTTCGGTAAGCCATCTAGTTGGTTAGTTAGTTAGGAGTATACCTTAACATTAAAGTGATATACGAACAAAGAGTATGTAGCTAGAAAACATTATAGAATATTATCTTCTGTAGCTCTGAAACATACAATAATACCTTAAGACGTTCATGAAGAGCATCCAGTTCCTGTTCCAAACGTTCAACATGATCTCTTGCCAAATCACGCTCTTGTTCTAGACGTCTTGTCAAGGCCTGGAAAACAAAATATCGTTAGAAATATGAGTACCATCATGGAGTTTATAAATGGATGTGCAGCTGCTTAAAGACAGATAATGCTAATATATTTTTTAAATGAATCAGGCCTATTGACCAATGACCACATCTGCACTGTTTTTCCTTTCCTTGCAATTACGTCTCTCCGCAGTTGCCTAAGATGCAATGGTACCTATTAAAACTGTAACAATATAAACACATTCTAGGAAATGAAACTATGTAAGTAATATTACCCTTTGCCATATTTTATTCAGGTGCACAATACTTCAGCACTGATTTAATTTTCCAAACTTCCTTAACCAATACTTACGAATAATTTGCTTTATACGTCGTTCACTGTCTTCTTTCTCTTGGATTCTAGGTTAAGCTGCTTACATTTACTTGTATTCTTTTGTTAAATGTTAATACAAATTATAGTAAGTCTAGTTAGAGCTTCTTAATTGCTTCATACTTTACAACTAGAATGCAGAATTTTAAATTAAAGTTAATGAATGCATGTCAAAATAAATTTCAAGTAAAAAAAGGAGAGAAATAAGAAAACCCGGTTTTGTCCAACAACGACGCGACAGTGGCCTCGATTTGTCCAACAGTACACAGGAATCTTCCCTTTATTCAAAGGAATATCTTCAGACACAAAAGCTTGTAACCTTTATTTAAGGGAACGCCTGAAAATATAAACATTTGCAATTACCTTCAAAGACATTCCACTAGCTGGATCTGCACAAGGAGATGTCATCGTTGAATGCGTTTCTTTATTTGGCAGAGAATCGATGCAAGATCTTAGAATCTCTTTCTCCTTGAGTAAATCACGATTTGCTTGCTGCAACTCCATTACCTGTTGCTCCTTTTCATTGAGTTTGCGTCGCAGTTCATTGGACTGTTAGGGTACAACACATTTTTGTCATAGAAATTATTCTATTAGTTTTAATAAAGAAAGTAAACACGTTTTTAGCACGGACACTACTACCCAGAAAGGTCTGAAACTAGAAGATTTATAACTTGCTTTAGAATATGCTATTGGGGAGGTAAAAGAATTAGAAGGGACTAAAACTGAATAAGACACATCAGCTTGCTGCCGAGTTGGTTAAAAGCATAAATACCATAAATAAATATGCAGAACCTCTGTTAGACACTAGAAAGGAGATTAGTCTAGAAGTAAACATAGAGAAAAATATGTATATACTGATCATCGCCAGAACCAGCACAAAATTATAACATAAAGATAGATAATAAATCCTTTGAAAGTAAAAAAAAAAAAGTAAGGCTGTCCTGCTACATGCCAAGTAGGCGCTCGGGGGGAGAGAAGGTATAACTCCTACTCATTCTTAACCTTGGCACTTTAAAGGGATGAGTGGTCGGCATCATGCCCTGGCCGCGCTTTACCACCAGTACCCATTGGACGGGAGGCTGGGTGGGCCCCAGATATGGTCTAGATGCAGAGGCTAAGGGAAAAATTGCCTCTGTCATGCAGGAACATACTACCAACATCTTCAGGGCTGAGGTCTGTAAACCACCACTTACATTATTACTGGTAACAGCGATTCTCTTCTGTTCTTTCAAAGAAAGCCACTCGTTGTGGTAAAAATCTCGCTCTGACTGCAGTTTCTCGATCAAAGCTTCATACTGCAGACAAAGGAAATAATTCATTCCTAGTCCACCAAGAAATATGAAAATTTAAGCAGGGTCAAAAGGCGTGGATTGGATTCATCTGGCCCAGGATATGGTCTGCTGGCGGGGTTTTATGAACATGGTATTGAACCCTCAGGTTCCATAAAAGACATGAGATTTCTTGGCTAGCTGAGCTTCTGAAGGAGGACTTTTCTCCATGCAGTTAGTCCGTTAGTTGGTTATACTTGTCCAAGACTGAAAAGTGTACTCTTTAATTCTTGTATTAATGAGTCCAAGGTCATTGTTGTTCAACAATGAATTCTAACAATGACCCCCAGTCATGCAGATTGCCTACCCCCCACAGGGAAAATGTGACAGACAGATACGAATGCGCCCATAAGGTGTTCTTTGCTCATGTTACAGTGTGAAAAACACCTAAGAAGTTCAAACTGAAGTCTGCAAATGTGAGCATTCACAAAAGCACATGTAACTAAGATTACAAACAGATAAACTGGATCTCACATTGACATCTCTTTCTAAAGAAGCGTGCCTGGGAATACTGTCCCCTCTTCGATCCTTTGGAGCACTTATTGGACTTTTACTTTTTTGCCTCTTCTCTGGTTGTACCTTCTTCTGGGACTTGTCGGACATTTTTCCAAGATGAGTCACTCTAGATGTCAACTGGCTTTCAAGTTCTGCTATTCTGCGCTTCTGTAAAGTTGTTTCTTGTATCATTTGTTCAATCTCTTTATTGAGGCCATGTTCTGTAAATGTCAGATTGGTCTATGATTGACAGAATAAAGGATGCTGATTAAGTAAAATACCTGAATTTTAATATAAACAATGTTAGTAATAATATTCCGGATTAACAGGGAATAGAAACAGCAGTAACTGGTACAGAAGTGATCCATTTATGTGATTTAACTTTCCTTCACTGGATTTGTAAATTGGCATACTAGAATTTCCCAATTTACTATTTTTGAGTTCCAAATGTGTCATTAATTAACAATTGATTGTTCAGGCTACAAATATTACAGGTGTGTTAGAAAACTGCAACAACTGTAGGATAATTTTAGTACGTACGTCGTGTTTAATATGGGCTGCCAACAAACTAACAGGTTCTTGAGTTACATGGATCACAAATAATGATTTGCCTGCACAAAAAATATACCAAAACTAAACAAAAAGATGTATTCTTTTAGAATACTCACATACCAATTATGGTAAGTTCATTGATGCGGTCTGAATTTTTCTTTTTCTCGTCGAGAGCACTTTCCAGTTTCCTTTGAAGATGGTGCTTTTCATTTCTTGTACCTTCCATGCTTGCTTGGAGTTCCTGGTTATTCCGTTTCAGTTCTAAAACTTCTTGCTCTAAGTCACGAATCTGCATTAAACTGTTTTCCAGTTTTACCTGGCAGAGATGACAAGTGATATTATACTCCGTGCATAAATTGTTAACGGACGCAACTGTAATTCCTGGAGGTTTTCATGCCAGTTTGTGGTATTCTGGGTTGTTGCACCATGGCTGTATACCAGTGTTTCAAGTTTTGACCTTATGAAGAGAGGCAGCATGCTCCTCCAAAATACTGGCATAGAACCAGAACAACATCATGGAATACTACAAGCTGAACTGTCGCTTCCTTTAAGGATGTAAAAAAGCATTTCTTGTAACAACTAAGAGAAGATATGTAAAATTATAGGTTGGTTGATACATCCTACATTTCTCGCCATGCCCAAGGTTTTCTTACCTGAATTTTGGAAACTCTCATCGAGTTCTCTTTAACAGTAGAATTGCATTCAGCTTCAACTGCTAAAGCCATCTGATCAATGTCATGCAACTCCTTTTCAAGTTGTTTATTACGATCGGCTAGCATAACTGCTCGACTCATTGCCTCATGCTGACTTGCGACTGATTCTGAAACCAACAGACATAAAAAGACAATCAGAAACCATCTGATGTCACAAATGGTTACCACGTCTGCCACGTTAGACAGAAATGTATATTTAACTTGAAGCCATGACAATAATTTTTCATTTACCATCTTTTCTAAACCAAATTGTGTCCCTACTTGCTAATCCACATGTGTCAATTGCATTCAAATCAAATTTTCTTGCATGAGATTTGAAGTTCTCACAGCAATGGAGATATTGATGTTGGTCTTCTGGATAGTAACACCATGTGCACTTGCAGGTACATAGCAGCCATTTGGAAGAATATACCGCTTTCATCTTCCAACTAGAACACAGCACTTTTCTTTTGTTTCACCATAAAGTGGCGTGAGTCTCCTGCCTTCTCATCCTTATCAAGTTTCCTCTAGGAAATTCTGAATCTTATTCTCACCTTTGACTTGTTGCTCCAGTTCTTCCTTCTTAAGCTCGAGTGTTTTAATTTCATCAGACATAGCGTTAAGTTGCAGAGTAATATCTTTACAAGTGCAGTGGCAATAGTCCTTTCTGATAGCATCAACTGGTCGACCACCTTCTAACATACCCATGAGGCGCTGAATTTCCCTGTCTCGATTATTTAGCTATACACCAAAAGAATGTACGGACATTTTATTGAGATTAATACTGATAAGTCATATCACACAAACAAAACTTCATGTAGTGAATACATTACACTTAAACAAAATGTAAGTAGAATGCAAATACTAACATGTTACTAAAAATAATAATTTATATTAAAATAATCCCAAAACCTTGAAAAAGAATGTTAAAAATTCTATATATGAACATGCAAACAAACCAAAAAATGTACTAATTCATGTATTAAAATTTCAAAATATAATAAACTAAATCAGTTAACATCTTTTCAAAAACAGAATGTAGAGACAAACTAAGATACGATTATTGTTATATCTTGTTTACAGGTATTAAATAATGATAACCAAGTACATGTACAAATAAGAAATACAACCCCAGAAATACCTGATTCTTAAATGAGGCAATGATTTCTGACTGCTGCATTTTCTCCTCCTCCAGAATGTCTATCCTTTGAGTCAGGTTACTAATTCGCTGTTCTGCTAGTTCCATCATATCTGAAGTATAGGGACTCTTTGCCTGTGATGATACATTTCTTTGCTCTTCTTGACAAGACTTTCCTAGTTTTAATTGGGGATCTAATTCAAATGTTGTTTGAGGTTTGGTAGCAAACACCTTTTTCTTGCCACCTGAACAAGTCACAACAACCCTTGGCAGCAACAGTCTTACACTTCAGAAGTTAGGAAAACACAAACATATACAAACTGAAATTGTGAATTATATGTTAAAATTATTTCAGACCTTTACACCATTCAATTTCAAAACAATATGTATCTTGAAGCATATGACAGTAATAATAATTCACATCCATTCAAGGCATAAAGTTTCTTGATTAGCAGAGAAACTCTGCTAATCAAGAAGTTAGTTTACATATAACTTTCCAATTTATTTTACAACTTGTAATCCATTTCCTTCAGATAACAGATTTAAAATGACCTCAGTTTGCACAGATAATCAACATAAAAACATTCTATTTTACACGGCTTGAATTCCTTCTTACTGAACAACCTTCTGATATTCCAGTAACATCAGTAACACACAACACGAAAACTCAGTAATATAAACTTAAAGGGACCCAGAGATTCATATTCTGTAATAAACCATATAAAAATTCCACGTTCAACTTTCTTTTTCCTAAAAAGACATGAGATTAGTGTCTCCTGTACCCACCGAAGTCAATGTTGACCACTACAGTTCCTCCCCACCACTGTCAGGTCTAAAACTTCTGACAGAACTACGAAAAATATTCACTACTATATTAACACATCACTTTTAGACATCATGGAAACTGTATCTTTCTAACAGATTACGTATATTTAAAATAACTGTCAGAGGTGTTTGGACAAATTCCTGAAGGTTGCTACAAAATGATATTTAAAATAACTGTCAGAGGTGTTTGGAAAAATTCCTAAAGGTTGCTACAAAATGATTAATCAGTTAAATAACTAATAATTAAAATATTTCTTACCAGGTCCAGAAATATTTGTGGGTGCACTTTTTCCTTGTAATTGTTGTATCTTACGAGTCTTCTGGGCAGATTCTTGTTCTAAGGCCTTAATTCTTGCTATATGCTGTGAACTTAGGAACTGAAGATCTGAATTATCGCTTTCTAGTTTACGAACTCGAAGTTTTAAGTCTAAATTAAATGGAGTAATATATTAATATAAAAGAAGGAAAAATAAAATTTCTTTACAAAAACAAATATCTTGATATTCAAGAGCAAGCAGACAGAATGATATTAAATGTAGGACTTTAGATTTAGAAACATTGAAGAAAAGATTATTACTCAATTCAAAAACTTACCACATTGCCTATCAACTGCAGAGTTCATAGTTGGAATATGTGAACCTCAAAATTTATGTTTGTAGTACATACACAAAAATTATGTTTCATAATATAATTTATATAACTGAAATTACTTACTTACTCAGTAACAGCAATTACTTTATTTAATCATACACCAAATTAAAGAATAAATATAGATAGTTTTGGATCATCACTGCATATCATATAAAGAACTGGCAGAGGAAACCTAAAACAACTCCTGAAACTTTACACATCCTCCAATGCCAAAATCACTGTGTGCAATAAGCACATATGGATGCTAAATTTGCTTCTTAATCTCATAAAAAATTAAACTGTAGCAAATAAATATAAACAAGTAAATGAATAACTGTATATAATGAGAACTTGTGCTACATATCTATAATGGAAAGAATATATAGCATATATAAAAAAACTAAATATACTAATTTTCATTATGAAAAGTTACTATAAAATGGACAATATGCTCTTCCTTGTTCTATGACAAAAGCATAGATAAGAGGCCAATATCAGAATGAATAAAATACAAATTTGTGACATAAAGCTTGTGTTGTTAAGGCTCCAGAATTAATACCACCAGGCAGTAAGATAGGTATTTATTTCTAATAGCTATGTAATAATACAGTTCAGATGCATCTGTAATACAGTCTAGAGATAATTAATATAACATTAAACATGTATCCATAATTTATGTATGTTTGGGTAACTGAAGAAAATATTTTACCAAACCAGCTCAACTGCTACATTTACATGCATAAATTTACACAGCACTTTCAGAAGGATTTCACAGTAATGATGCAATAGATGTTAGCATCTCACCTTTTTGTTTCTTATCAGAATCTTCTGTTTGATGCAATAACTTCATGTGTAAGTCATTACATTCTTTAACAAGTCTGGCATTATCAAGCTTGTATGGTTCAGATACTAATTCAAGATTGCCACATTCCTGCAATACAGACATAGGCTTCTGTATTAACTTCCATATGCAATTATCTTCACAGGAATTAGGCTTCTGTATTAACTTCCATATGCAAATATCTTCACAGGTATCAATGTGCTCTGTGGTACATGTCTTAGCAAACATTGACATAAACAAATAACATTATGATTTTACCACATGCAGGTTTCTTGTTGAACTTTCAGTTTTGTATGAATACACAAGCCTTTACAAAATAACATGGCCAACTAGCTTCAAAAAACAAGAACAGGAAGTCAAACAACTGAAAGTTTGTCAATTGTTTCCACAGTGAAAATAAAAAATATACTGTCATTTAATACTCATGTAACATAAAATATTATACTACTTAGATTATAATATTAACATTAAATCAGTGATAACTCATTAAATATTATTTAATATGGTGTGAAGTTACAATCTTCACAGTAATAACAAATTCTATCCACTTGTAAAACACTATACCTCTAAACTTCTCTGTGCCAATTCTTTATAACGACGTAAACTTTCTGTAGTATGTAAGAGATCTGATACAAGCCTTTCTACCAAGGGAAGAGATTCTACTAACAAGGGCTGCCAATAACCCAAGTCATCCAAGTGGTTACGAAGTACTCTATACCTACGTTCCAACATTCCATTATCCATTATATCAATATATTTCAGATTAGCACCTGGAATAATATCAGAATTAATTATGGTATAAACAGAGATATTTCAAAGTTTCAATTGTAACATGTAATTTATGCCACCATTTTAAGTATTTGTCAAAATGTAGTAGCAAAGTTTGAAATTAAGTATTATCACTAACCTCAAAAATGTTTTCCCCTCATCAACCACAGTAGTTTCATACTACTACATTCGTTGTCACGTTAGGCATCGAAACAAATTGTTTTCGGAAGAATCGCTCTGCAAATTAGTGTTACAAACAAGATGCACTCACTGCTTAATTTTACAGATACATCTCACGTATAGTAAAAGTACAAATGCTAAACATATACATAACCAAAAATAACTGATAGAACAGTGAACAATACAATATAGTTTTAATTTATGAATATTTTAATACAGCCATTTCAAACAAAATAGTACTGTGCAACAAGTATTCAAAATACGATCTCTGTATTTCACCTTTACACATTTTAGAAATAAGTATAAATTTATTCAAGCTTCCCTCAAACCAATATCAAGAGTCCCACACGGTAAGGAAAACAGCTACAAGCATAAGATAATATGAAATAAAACATACATTTCAATTATGTTATCTTTAAAATTCTGAAAATATGTTTAATTTTCACAAACATAATCACATAGTAGCATTATTTGTTTCTCTAATAAAAATTACGTCTTATACTTTGTAATTCGCGCGAAAAACTGTTGTTAAAAGAACACTGTGCTATTGTGAATGCGTTCAGTACCGTGAATTGCCTCGTTGCTCATTCTAACCTTAAATTCAGTTTACATATGTTCAAGAAAGAATGGTCACTGGTATGGTTGCTATTAACAGAACATGACTTACCACAGTGTATTAAATATAAAGAAGTCAGGGAATGTATGCATGGCATGTTCATCAGAATTCAATCCGAGACCTTTAATCAAGGGTAACATATTAACCACTATTAAGATGGTTTCACAAATTAATTTAACATTCATAAGTATCTGTCTGTAATACTTTTGTTGGTACTTCTGACATACACTCATTAATACATGAAGCTTGATATTTTTGTAACATAATCCTCTTTTAATCTACAAATGTTTTTGACAAATTACTGATAAACGGATGTGCATTTATGTTATTAATAATTAATCTGTTTATGATTCTGTAATATCAGATTGATGCACAATATGATTACCTAATAAAAAGTGTGTTGTTTGGCACTTTTCATTGATATTTCTAAGATCTCTTAGACTGGTGTTTATTTCTTTTAATGTCTGTTTAATTAACACGGTTTATCTTGTTGGTTCTTTGTAAATGTTATGGATCACAGATCAGTTTCATACTTTCACAGCGTTCTCTTGTTAACTCAGCTGTACTGCTAAACAGTCACTTGAACAAATAGCTTTTATGTACTTTCAAGACATTAAATATTTACATTAATGAAAATTATAATTGTCATACTGTTTAATTGCATTACATGAACCTGCAATCACTTCAAGCAAGACCTTTAAAAATGATGTGCTATATTTATTATTAAATATTTGTATTAATAAAAATATTTTATACATATCATTGTTTAATTACATTGATTTAACCTGGAATTGGTGTAACAGTTATGCTTAAATTGGAACAATGCTGAGAAATATCATCAAAATCACTTTTAGCAATTGGAACAATGCTGAGAAATATCATCAGAATCACTTGTAGCTTGAAAGTATCTTGTTTAATTTTCTAAAATGTATACATTTCTGCATCTGAAGGCACCAGTCAGTTAAAAAAGAATGAATATGTACAGGACACAAGTGTTAATGCTATTAAAAACACAATAACAAGAGTATATCATGATACTGTAACACTTCTGGGAAGCATAAAAAGATAATATTGAAGTAAATTTGAGACTGTAACAAGCCAATGGGCCTAGGATGTGGAAGGCTGTTACCGCAGTTGCTGATAATCTAAATTATTGTTCTTACAGCATCAATGATTGTGGACAGAAAATATATAATGAAGAAACTGACAACAGAGATTGCTTCATGGAGTAAGAAGAAATATGAAGCACATACATGTTTACTTAGACAAAAACTAGATTGAGGTTATGGGAAAAGGGACTTTTAAAGGTTTGCTTAATAGCTAAACCATGGAAGTGTAAACAGTTTAGAGAAGAAGAAGAAGAAGAAAACTTTGATATTACAGCCATCCTCTTTGTACAAAATCCTTTACAATAAATTTGAATTTTTCCTCATAGAATTTACCACCAAAATTGGATTTATCCTTTACAATAAATTTGAATTTTTCCACATAAAATTTACCACCAAAATTGGATTGGAACATTGCATCAGCGTCACAATCTGACAATTCAGGCACTTGACTTTCATCAGCGGAAATAATTTTTGCCATGTAGAGGAGGTGGTGAAATTCTTTTGGAGCATTTGTATTGAGCTCGTCTTGAAAATTTTGTATTGAGAAAGGATTGGTGTCACATGCCAAACCACTGAGACAGTCAATGAATTCATTATAATAGAGCCTTATCAGATCATCACAGTGGTGCTTTATTACATCAATTGTTGCACTGCTATATATGAAGAATATCAAATCACGGATTGGAGAGTCATAGAGTGTGACCTGAAAATCAACAAATTTCATATTGATTGGAGTTTTAATCTTGGAAGGCTGATTCTCATCATTATCTTCGGTTTCATACAAGAACATCATATTATTCACCCAGAAGTCACAGTGAACAAATGCAGCAAATGGCTCTTTAGGAGGAGGAGGTGAAGGGTTTCTCTTTTCGTTTAAGTCCTCTCGCATACTCATTTCTATCCTTTCCAGATATGGCAGACATTCAGGAATACATTTCACATCAGTGAATGTAGACATAAACCATTTCTCTGCCACTTCATCATCTGTTACCCCGCCTATGACATACCTATCACAAGATTTCAGAACTGTCTCTTTGAATGTGTTTGGTTTCAAGATCTTAAGCGCTACTGACAGTGCATGAAATCGAGCCAATTTATTCACTCCCAGCTCCATGTGCTTCAGGTCAAGCCCTTTCCTGCGATCTCCAGTGTGATACCCAATTAATTTTAGATTCTCCAAAATAAGAACCGCTGTGTTATCTGCTTTTGCATTTGAATTTCCTTGTGTGTTTGTACGAGCGCCATAAAACTTTGGGAATACGTCTAGAAGTTTGCTTTCGGGTATTCCTTTTTCAATCTGTAGCTGTTTATACTGTGGGCTTACAAGCTTGTATGCATTCACCTCCTTGTTGAATGTAATTCCTATATCAAATGCTTCACGAAGGAATTCAGATGGTGGTACCAGTTTCACCACTAATGGGAGCGTGTTTTGTTCATGACCTTGTTGAATGGTAAGTTCTGCAGCTAAAATGGTGCTACCATAATTATCCCCAGGCTGAGTGAGTGCCTGCATTTTGAATTCCAACACTTTCAAATCAGATCCCAGTTGTGGGGAGAGCAGATATTCAAATTCTTGTTTTGTTAACTTATATGTATCACAGTGATTGTCACACGCCATTTTCAGTTTTTATTGCTTAACAACCAAATATCTGAAAGAAACAAATTAGAGAACACCTTAAATTAAAATATCAGACTATTGAAAATTTTAACATTCAAAACATGAAAATTATATTATTTCTAGATTGTGTTTATTTAGAAGCAGAAAGGAAGACAAAAGGATTTCTTTTAATTCTACCGTGTTTCAGGTAACACGGGCATCACGTAAACAATGACATAACAAGGTGACAGGCAACTATGTATGACTTACTAATGTCTTGATGTATGAACCTTCAAATTCTTATACAATGGAGCTTCAGTTTTACAATGAACTACCACACGGCAAAGTATATTATAACTGACAAGGAGGCACTTACAGTGTGTCTGTCTATTAATTGAATGATTGCATACAATGTGCACAATCTACAGACCTTCAATTTGTGCTTGTAAAGTTTGGCAGTTCCTGATATAACCCTATCTTCATATGTATAAATGTGTATTGTGTTAATATAAATCCAGGTTCCCATGGTTCTTGGTTGTGACACTGAATTTTTAGGTGGGTACCACTGTTTTGGAAGAGCATATTATGTTGAAGCTTGAGGCAGTATGTTCTTCTAAAATATTAATATTCACCTACAAGTTCAAATATGTCAACTCACAAGACCACCACAGGCATGGACAAAAATGTATTTGTAAATGGATATTTGGATAATAATAAGAGACAGAATGCTCAAGAATAATATTCTGACAACTATTTAGTTAACATATTGATAAATTCAGTACTGGACAGTAGAACAGTTCAAAGAATTGATCAGCATGGCCTTGAAAATAAATAAACAAATTTTAAAGTCTAATATACAACCGGAAAGGGCTACTCACTGACATCTAAATAAATATGAAAAGGCATACAACCAGAATTATATTTAAATAATATAATGTTTGGAAAAATGTCATTATTTTGAAGACTGTAGTGTACAAATTCAACAAATTTCATGAAAATCTTAGGTCAGGACACAAACTGTGTTATTCTGCATTAACTTGGAACAGACCCAATACATACATCTACACAATGACAAATGAAAGGCTTTCTCATTTTGAAAATTCACCATGCAGATGAAATATTCGATGCTGCTATAATCACATTCCATGTGTATTAAATCCAATAATCTATGAAAGAAGGTTCTAATTATGCCTGTATTTAGAAATATATCTATTCAGAACCACACCTTTTTGTTCAATGTTGTTAAAATGATTAATGTATATTCAAAATTAATTAAAAATTACAAACCTTACAAAATTAATGAACTCTTGTTCTACTTCTGCAGGAGACTGTAATGGAATCTACACAAGCAGTGAAATATGATATTCATTTGGAAACTGATAAAAATTTGCTTTTTCATTTCTTTATACCAGTTGACCTTCAAACCCAATAAAAAATATGACACGTTGTGTCAACTTCTGTTATCTTTAAAGTACTGTGCATATCCTTATCAGTAATTTTTTTTATAGAAACGAGCTCTCCAAACCCATGACAATTCATTATTTTTGTCGTCACTTGTACGAGTTCTAACTTCATTGGCATTTTGTTTTATAAGATGCACAATTTCAATTACCTTTCTATTCATTTATATATGATGTGTGATCCACAGAAACAGACAATATAAAATATATACAAAACTTTTAAACTTATATTTAAAATACTACCAAATTATTACAAAATCATAAAGCCTTAAATAGGAGTGTTCAACACCTGTGGAATGTCAGTTTATTTCAAAGACTACACCTTTTCAATATTGTTTAAAAACTGTAGAACAAAAACGCCGATCTCATAATTTTTCTTTTTGCAGAATATCTTAACTTTTCTCTCTGACTTCTGGTTTCTTGCAGGTCTCAAGGGAAGGCTAATCAAAGCCATTGTGTATTAAGGACTCATTGAAGGGCTGTTAATTTTAGGGAGAAGAAAAACATCACTAAGGTGTGTGTGTTAATAATCAAAGAACAGAAATCACTTTCAATTCATTTTTATTATATCATCTCATTATTTATTGTATTATTAATGTATATGAATCAGGTATTGTGCAAGTCTGTTTGGATAAAGTCATTCATGAATGTTATGTATTCTGAAATCTCAGCACAAAGGTACAGAAATTAATGAAATCCATGAATTTTTTTAATAAATTTAATATATTTGTAATAATAAACATTTATGCCTCCGTACATACATGAAATCCCCCCAAAATATTGCAAGTGTCATTGCAGAACAAAAACAATAACAATAAGTCTCAAGCAAGTACAATAGAACAATAGGCCAATACAAAATTTCATAAAATTACATTGTTATAAAAATAGTATACAATATTTAAATATGTCACAATATATACCTGAATACCCTACATGCTCTTCCATTTACTGAAGGTTAAGTCACAGATACATCCAAATACATTTCAATCACCTGCAAGTATGAGAATACATTTGATTATAACTCAAAAACACACGTTTGGAAATTGGATGGCACAGAAATAAGTGCACTTACCAGAGTTAAGGGATACATGGCCACGCCACACTATCAATTACAATCTGCAGTAGGATTTCCTACACAAATATAAAAGTTTCAGATATACGAGGTGCGATCAGAAAGTTTCCAGACTGCGCGTATAAAAACCCGTACACTTATCTCAGGTATTAAATTCATCCATCACCCTCGAAGTAGTTCCACTGGGAGTGAACACAACGATCCCAGCGCCGCTGCCAAGCCTGGAAATCTTTCTTTGTCAGCCTGTCAAGCACCATCTGCGATTCTGCCTGAATCTCTTCTATCGTCTCAAATCTCCTTCCCTTTAGCTAATTTTCATCTTTGGGAAGAGGAAACCTTAGAAAGGAAGTTGGCAAAATTTGATGCACACTCTTTGTTCATGAAAATCCGCAATCGCAGGAGGGTCGGTGTAATGCACTACCAAAACGCCCGTAACTAAGAAACAAATGCTAATTCGA